AGTAATTTGAGACAACTGTGAAGATGATGTTAGAGTTGCAGTGGAGGTTATTATGCTGGTCTCCATGGGCTTGGACAGAGATGCAGTCCAGTCTGCAGGTAGTTGAAATGGTATGGATGTGGGATTGAGGGCTTCTGTTGAATCAGTAGACATAGTATCAGCTGCTGTGGTGATTTCATCTGTAGGATGTTCTTTAGGACTGGTCAACTCAGAAGAAGTAAAGCCAACAGTCGTTTCATATTGACGTGTGCTTGGGGCGTCTGAAGTTATTTGTTCAGCTACTGCTGTTTCCACATTAGGAGGCACATTAGTGGTGATCATTGTGGTCTGCTCTATTTGATCAGGAGCAAATTCTGTTGTTGTTTGTTCAGTCTCAGTACTGAGTGGCATGATGTTCACAGCTGTTGGTTCTTCAAGCATGGTGCTCAATTGATTAACAAGTGTGGGTTTTGCATGATACAGATCTGGTTTTGTCTGTAGTTCAGTGACAGTATTTATGTCCAGCAGTGGTTCAGCAGTGGTGACATGACCATGTCCAGCAGTGGTGCTTTCAGAACTGAACATTTCCCCCACAGTGTTGTAATTCGCTAATGTGGTGGTGATATCTGTCTGTGTTGACACTTGTGCATCAGTGAACTTGAAACAGGCTCCAAGAGCAAGATACAACAGTAAATTGCTAAAAATGAGCCTCATGATGCTCATACTACTGCCTGAAAAATCAGCAATCTCAGTCTTTGTGCAAAACAAAATTGCTCAGGTGAGCTGATAATGTCTTTGGATATCCACTTTGAGGCTCGAGAATGTGATAGAAATTGTAGGAAACCTCCAACACCTGGCTATATATGAAAGGAAAGCATCTGGCAGAAGACATTCATTGTTTTTTCTTGTTCTCTGTGTGCTTGGTGTTCTGCTGAGGTAATCTTGCGTGAATCTGGGGCGGAAAGTTTTGTTCTTCCTTTTTCTTCTCTGTCTCTGTTTCAGTGTAGCACGAGCGAATCTAGCTTTGAAATAAACATGTGACACAGTAAAAAAGACACCGGAAGAAAAAGACAGTTAGTCACAAAATTATCACTCCTTTTTTGGGGTTTAAATTAAAATAAATATAAATAATATAAAATATAGTTTAAAAAGTTCTAAATTTTGGGGTTCATAGGATTTTTTGAATGCTTTTAAAATAAGTATCTTGTCCACTAAAAGGCTGCAAAAATACAGTTAAACAGTGACACTGTGAAATGTTCTATCAAATTAAAATAACTTTTTTTCTATTCTAATCTTTTAAAATGTAATTTTATTCCTGTGATCAAAGCTGCATTTTCATTATCATTACTCCAGTCTTCAGTGTCACATAATCCTTCAGGAATCTTGCTGCTCAAGAAACACTTCTTACTATTTTATTATATTTTCCTATATTATCAAATTTTTTATTTATTTATTGCTAGAAGGTAGAATTAAATTGAATGTACTTTTATTCATTTGACAGATGCTTTTATCCAAAGTGACTTTCTTGGGAATTGAGCCCCATGACATTGGCGTTGCTAGCGACATGCTCTATCTGCCAGATGAGCTGCACTTCATTTGACGGGCAGAATAGAGGTACGTTCACAGGTTATTTCAGTGCACATTTACCATAGTTACTAGATGTGATTTGAGTGTCACGTGTCATTAATGTTTTCTCCAAGCTGCATGTAGTGATTTTTTTTCCCGTTCTTTTTATGTGGTCTCCCTGTTCTCAAGCATCTTATAACATCACAGCCACAAACTGGTTACAATTTGTCTCCCGTTTGATCCCTTTATGAATAAGTGCAATTGCCACTTACCTTCATGCCTCTGGGTTAAGTCACTGCAAGCTCCAACCACCAAGACCAAACTGCACATGTGAAAATCTACACACTCTCGCATGCAGTGCACACCTATATCCTGTTCATTTCTCTTCCTCTCTCACTCCTACATGCCCTCTTTCATTTCTCCTCCCTCTGAAGATGTCATATCACTGCCAGCATCTGGACGAGAGACGCTGTTGCTGAAAGATTAAAAAACGTGCAAAAAAGTACTTGACATAGTGTGCATTGTTATCTGAGGCTGAAGTAGAAAAAGAGAAGCCAGGCCCTGATGGGAAGCTGGGTGTGTTGACACTTCTGTGGGTTTTGACGCTGGTTTGTCAGTACAACTGTTAAGTGCAATCGTGTCTGTTTGAGTGTATATGTGCACGATACGTGTTTGTTGGGTGGAGGAGGGTATTGCAAACTGAGAGAAGTGAGAAATTTTGTGCCTAAAGTAAAGTTTGCTTAAACTATTCTGAGAGATCTATGTCCTGCCCTCTCATATTTCTCAATCTAAGTTTTTACAAACAGGATTTGCTAATTGAAAATCTTAGTAAAAAATGTTCATTTGGGCATTTTTACATGCACGTGATATCTTTTCTTTCTGTTGACGTTTTACTTCACAGTACTTATCACTATCATTTCCTCATTCTGAGTATATTTAACACTTTTTCATAACATTGTCTCTCACTCTTTTTAACCATGCACAACAGAAACTTGCATTATCTGTTATAGATCTCTCAAAATGGTGATTCACACCATCTCAGAATCAATATTTTTTTATTTCAGTTTATCTTTACAAGAGTAAGACACACTATGAGATTTTATAATGTTTGCTCAAAACATATCACTAAAAGTTGCATATTGAATATTGTGTATTTTTATTTAGGTATTTATTTATTTATTTTAATCAGGGAATGTTTTTTTTTTTTTTTATTACAGAAACGCTCTGAATTTTCCAACAGTGTAGCAAAAATGACTGTGGTTAAAGTTTCTGTGGTCCCTTCACTTTTTTAAGGAAGGAAAAGCACTGTATATTATTCTGTTTATCTCACTGTTTAGCTTCATGGCTTTTCTAAGTAACTTATGGAAACTAATGCTGTATTAACTTAACAATTAAAGTAATAGGTCTGTGCTTTCATCAAACATAATAAGTTATATAAATAGATGGGGTTTTTTTTAATAAATAATGTTTTTTATTTGTGGATCCAAGTTCAGTAAACTTGCATTTTAAGTTAATATGAGCATTAAGAGTAAGACTACACAATAGTGATGTATAACAAAAGTTAGACAAACAAAAAGTTAGACAAACAAAGAGTGTATAAGTTTGAGTAAACTGAAAAGGTTATATAGAATTACTTCTATACACCAAAAAAGTTGTGTATACTCATAGAAATGGAAGAAACTTCACAGAAGAAAACACAACTTTTAACAACAAAATGTAATCAAAAACATTACATAGAGCTAAGACATCTATTAATTCTAAATACATATATTTATGCTGCCATTATGTCCCCATGTTTTGACCAAAATCACAAATTTTTCAAGTGCATCATAAGTGATCAAACTGAACATGCTCAGCTGCCTGTTAGTTGGACCTAATGCCGCTTTCATGTGCTATCGGATATTTCCTACTTCCCACTTCTGAAGTTGTAATTACAAGTTCATCGTTTTCAAGTGCTTTGTTGTTGGAAAGAATTGGACGGCAGGTTAATTTTTGCCTATTTCTTAGGAAAATCTTATTAAAGCCAAAATGTATAGAAGATATTTAATCAATATCCAATGGATTTAGAATAAAATGTAGCGTCCCATTTGTTGAACATTTCCCTCCCAATTTGATTCACTACATCTAGATAGTGAGCTTGTTGACGAGTGTAATTTCAGTCAAATGAATCCTATTTTTATTTTGTAAAAATACATACAATATGCATCATATTTACGTAAATATACACAACTGTAGATCAGGGCTGGGCGATATGGCCCAAAAAAATTATCACGATATTTTTTTTATATCAGTCGATATCGATAATTATCACGATAAATGTCAAATCTTTATTTCTTTCAAGTTTAAAGGCAGATTTTTGCTCCTAAGTGAAAGTTTTATAAACCAGAGCGTTAATTGTGGTTTTAACTCTTTATTGTCAGAACATATCATGACAAACACTTGACAAACAGGTGAACATTTCACAAATCTGAGGTAGAACATTCAAACATTTGTCATTTTTCCTTAACAAAATTAATATCTGAATAGAAAAATATTTCTTCAGCACAGTTTGCAGTGCAGCCTGCAATATTCAAATTACATGTTTTGTCTCGAAATGCATATTTGACAGTGAGTTGACAGTAAATCTGCATCCTAACTCAAGCTAATACTACTCTGTTAAATTTATGTTCATTAACAAAAACAGTAACATCTGTTTAAAAATAATAATAATTTAACAACCACATTTTTATTTGGTAAAATGTAATATTCTGACTGTTTGAGTTTTATTAAAATTAACCATTGGTCATCCAGTATCATGCATTTAGATCATGATAACCACAGATAAAACCAGGCATAGCCTAACGTTATAAATTAGTTCCTCACTATCATGGCAAAATGTTTTGGTTTCTATGGTATTTGTATGAAAAACAGTAGCCTAACAGTTAAATACATTTTTAAATACTATAATTATATTCCATTAGTCATTTAATACATTGTCTACATTAATAATATTATACAATTCAATATGTACCCCACATTTCATGGTGCAGTTAATATTACTAGGCTAACCTTACAGTAAATCCATGGTAGGCTAAATGGATTCAGTATCAATTCAGATTGACTGTATCGTTGCGCACAGTGTTTTTCCTGTTTGTCAGCGCTGTTTCATCTGCCTTTAAACATTTGTGTTCTTCGCTGAACTCAAGCGCTTCTCACTGGATCTCGTGAGCGAGACGATCAGAGTAAACGCGTCTGCTCTACTGAGCTCTCGCTGCCGTTTGGACTTTGAGCCGAGCGGATAAACAGTCCGTGAGGCGCGCGCGGTTCAAATGAGTTTCGTTCCGCTTTTGCCGCATAAACATTATCGAACATTTATCGACCTCTTGATATCGTTTTATCGAGAAAAATTATATCGCGATAATTATCGTTATCGTTTTATCGCCCAGCCCTACTGTAGATGTTGTGGGGAAAATAAATAAAAATTAACAGTCATATACAGTTCTCACTTTTGGCTTTTTTATGGGTCACCCAACTCGGAAACTTCAAATTTCCCTGTAATAAATGCGACTTTAGAAGGCTGTTCATGTCCAATTTCTGAATAGGAAACTCATACGACAATTCCAATATCTCGTAAGTTCTTGTTCTATATTTGTAGTTGCCTGACAAAATGGAAGTTGGATTTTTTTTTTTTTACTGTGTTCAGCTGAGCACAAATAAGATCCATGTTTGATCACAAACGTAACGTCTTGTTTACTTGTTCAAATAAAGTTTCCATCAAAATCTCCTTGTGTTTTTGGCAGAAGCCTGAAGGTACATCTGTCCAAACTGTTTCCTGTGGTGTCTTTCAAAGTTGATAACTATGTGTCGGTGTCCGGCATCCTCTCCTCCTTTACGCGCCTGTTTGCGTACCAGAACTCTGTTATGTCATCCACAGTCACTTTAGGCTGAATCCACAGCCCATTCTCCTTCCTATCCTGTTCCTGTCCTCTTCTCTTCATCCTCTCCTGCCTCTTTCTGTCTTTCTGCTTTCTGTCGGCCTCCATTGTGGATCCATTGACATACCAGAACTCCACTCTCTCCTGCACCGATGCTTTGGGGTCGGCCCAAAGGCTCTCTTTCTCGCACGTCTGACCTCCCTTCTCCCTCCGCTTCCTCTTCTTTTTAAAGACAGACAGACGCACCCACAGGAAGATGGTTATTCCTAGGAATATGGTAGCAATCATTGCTAAAGTCCACACTGTGATGAAGCACATCAGTGTGGATTGACGAGATTTGGGGTTTGGGTTCAAACATTTAGACCAAGCTTTGCTTTCTGTGTCAGTTTTGTTTGTGGCATCGGTTAGGACATCAGTTATGGTAGAGTTGTTGTTATAGGTGGTGGTACCACCGGGTGTGTCTGTTCCTGTAATGTTTTCTCTTCCTGTGTGTGCAGTAGAGTTCGTGAATCTGTTTATATTCTGCTGTGTCGTTGAGTGATTTACACCACCTATCGAGGTGTGATATTCAGGTCCATCTGTAACCGTTGGGTCTCGTGCTGTTGTGTAAGCTGGTGTGATCATGGGAATGTCTGTGCTTTGTGATGTTGACCAATCATTTCTCGCTGTTGCCGTTGCAGCACTTACACCAATTGTATTTGCTGCTGTGTCGTAAGGTTCCTCTCTGTGTTCACTTGTGAAGCTGTAACTTCCCTCAGTGCTCAGTGTTCCTCTCGACTCATTCGTATTAGCAAATGTGGCCTGGGTGGAGTTCGTTTCATAATTTCCTTCATCTGCTTTTGTTCTATCATCCTCTTTCTCTGTCCTGTCTTTCCAGGGAACTGTTGAGACACTACTGAGCAGGTCTGATAAGGTGTCTACAGTCTGAACTGTTCGTCCGTCATCAGTGTAACTCGCACTTGACATTGTTACTGTTTCATTATTTTGAGGCGTCACTCTTGCAAAGTTAGTGGAAACTGTTGTATGATTTGTATTTGTGTGACTCATTGCAACACTGCTAGCATTGCTAACGCCTATGCCATCATCCATCATGCCATTCTGAGATGGAGTACTGCTGTTGTATTGATGCAGGGATGTTGTTTCCTGTGTGGACGCCACATTTGGGGTTGTATTTGGCTGTGTATGCACTTCACTGGGCAAATTTGTTGTGCTTTCCTGTGTTTTTGTGGTCAGAGGCGAGAAAGGTGTTGCATTTATTAGGATCTTGGGTTCTTGGCTTGTTTTTGTTGTTGCTGGAGTTATTTGGGTGGTTTCAGTGTAGTCACTCATGGTGTTTGTTGGCAGTGTGTTGAAATATAGAGCTGAGGCGATGAGGAAGTGAGTGAACCACACTGTGATGGACAGTAAAGTCATCTCCATTGTGACTTCTGTAAAAGATCGAGACGACATGAGTTCAGCCATGATGGGAAAACATTTGAAAATAAAATGAATTCACTTGCATAAAGTTCAGTGCATTATGCATTAGTACCATGAACTTACAATGAACATTGTTTTAAATGTTTGTAGTTAACAAATATGAATATCATTTTATCATGCTGATTTGGTGCTCAAGAAACATTTCTTATTACCAATGTTGAAAACAGTTGTGCTGCTTAATATTTTTGATGAAATATATTTTCTTCAGGATTCTTTGATGAATAGAAAGTTGAAAAAACGGCATTTATTTAAAATAGAAATCTTCGGCAACATTATAAATGTCCTTACTTTTACTTTTGATTAATTTAATGCATCCTTGATGAAAAAAAGTGTTAATTTCTTTAAAAAAAAAAAAAAATCGATCTGACCCCCAAATTTTCAACAGTAGTGTGTGTATGTATATATATTTTAATATAATATAATATAATATAAAAGTATTGTTAGTTAGCCGGTAGTTATTCATAAGTTGGACCTTATTTTAAAGTGTTACCACATAATTGATGCAGTTAGAGGCTGCATAGAATTGTGTAACACTGTTAATTAATTTACTTATTTATTTTTGTAATCACTGTAAAAAAAACAACAATTAAATATACTGCCTCAGCAAAAAAACAACACACCCAAATTCTATTGGTTTTAGGTTTTGTTAGATCAGTATGTTGGTGTGCCAGTCAGAGCAAAAATAAGTCGTGTTCCCCAGCAATCTAAACTCAAAGTCAACTTTGTAATGTTTGAAATGTTGCCATTTTTCCCTGTGAATTTCTAATACTGATAGCTACTGCCAAATAACATAGTTATTTTGATTTTATTTGACTTGCCTGACTATAAACACTCCAGGCCTACAACAAACACACAACGTCACGAAGCAGCATAAAATCCACACTGCACATTTGTACTACACTTAAGAACAAACGAGAACTCGAAAACAAGCTATGTCTGTATTACTTCTTGTTTAGGTTTAATCAACTGACAGAAACAAATAAACTGTACCTGATGTTCAGAACTCATCACGTTGTCTCTTCCTGATGCACTGTGATTTCTTCGTTTGCGCAGTGGTGCCTTCTGGGATACTTCTCTCCCCTTGCTGAAACTTTTTGAAGTGACATGCGGAAATGACAGTTTGATCACCATGCCAACAGTGGGATGAGGTGAGAGGTTGGGCTGAAGAGGATGTGGTTGAGTGGCTCCACCTCTTCCCTCCATCAGTGCTGCTGTGGAAGCAAATAAAGAGCAGATATTTGAACACATCCTGTTGACTCATATTACATTCAGATTGATCAACTGCACATCACTCTAATGAGGACGCCCACTCACCACAGTACTGTTTTGACGAGATGACATAGATGTCACTAGAGTTTTGTCCTGAAGACCAGTGCTTCTCAAACCTGTCCTGGGTACGCCCCACTGCACATTTTGTGTGTGTCCCTCACCTAGCACAACTGATTCAACCCAACAGCTCATTAGTAGAGACTGCAAGACTTGAATTGGGTGTGTCTGATGAGGGACACCTACAAAATGTGCAGTGAGAGGAACCCAGATTTTTTTTTTCTGAAAAACGAAAAAAATTGTACATCAATATATTGATTAATAATTATCTAGCATTAATATATATTAATATTACTACACAAAGCCGGTAATGTACACAAAAAAACACATGCCATGTTTTATGTTTATTGCAAGTCAATCTAAATTTAATGTAGTCTAGGTCATATTTTCTTGGTAGCTTTTCTTTTATGTGTAAATTTCTTCATGGTGTTATTATGTTACATATGATATTATACCTTCCATGATGATATTATCTACCTATTTTGACTAGCCTGTTCAAAGTGACAGATGAAGTTGTTCCAAAATACTGTAGATTTGAATTGGATGCACAGCCTTTGATATACAGACATACACTACCATGCAAATGTTTTGGTTCAGTAAGATTTTGTTTTTGTTTTTTCTCTTATGCTTACCAAGGCTCCATTTATTTAATAAAAACATACAGTAAAAAATATTATATTATGAAATATACCAATTTATAATGACTGTTTTAATATAGTTAAAATTTTCATCATCATTACTCCAGTCTTCAGTGTCACATGATCATTCTAATATGATGATGATGATGATAATATTTTCATTTATCATTATTTTTGCCAGCCATGACCCATTTTTTGTTCAAGACCCACTAGTTGAGAGCCACTCCTAATATTTGCAGTCATACAGTATGAAAAAGAAAAGACACCCCTTTGAATTCTATGTTTTTATGTATCGGGAGTCGGGACATAATAGAAAATCATCTGATCCTTGGCAAGTCTTAACATTAGGTAAATACATCCTCAGATGAACAACAACATATGACATATTACACCGTATCATGGTTTATTTAACAAAAACTAGGCCAAAACAAGAAACCATGTGTGACAAAGTACACCCTTCTTCCAGGAATGAAGAGAGTAGCAGTCAGGCACTGCTAATCAAATGCCTTTGATTAACTGATCATCAGTAAGTGTGATCACCTCTATAAAATAGTTTGCTGCTCCAGAGCATCCAGGTGCATGTTAACACAATGCCGAGGAGGAAAGACATCAGCAATGATCTTAGAGAAGCAATTGTTGCTACCCATCAATCTGGGAGGGCTAACAAGGCCATTTCCAAACAATTTGAAGTCCATTATTCTACAGTGAGGAAGATTATTCACAAGTGGAAAACATTCAAAACAGTTGCCAATCTTCCCAGGAGTGGATCACCCTGCAAATTCACTCCAAAGTCAGACCATACAGGGTTTAGAGAAAATGCAAAAAACAAAGAACTACACCTCAGACTCTACAGGCCTCAGTTAGCATGTTAAAGCTGCAGTCCGCAGTTTTTCCTCTTTGTCGCCATCTCTGTTCAAAATCTGCTATTGCAGTCATTCGTGGAATTATCAACTTTACGTGAGTTGTACTTCGACACGGCACAGCGCGGATGAACACACTAGCAATAAATGAAGAGATGTCATGTCAATCACAAGTTCAGTATGGAGTACCGCAAGGCTCAGTACTAGGGCCGTTGCTTTTCTCCCTATACATTCTACCCTTGGGAGATATCATTAGGAAGCATGGCATTAGCTTTCACTGTTAAGCTGATAATACTCAGCTCTATATTTCTTCACGCCCTGACGAAACTTACCAATTCACAAAATTAATGGAATGCATAGCTGATATAAACAATTGAATGACTAGTCATTTGCTACTACTTAATTCTAAAAAAAAAACCAGAGATTCTAATTATTAGACCAAAAAACCCTGCATGTAATAACCTAGAATACTTTCTAACACTTAATGTCAAGTCTTGTTGTTGGTTAGGAACCTGGCTGTGCTCTTTGATACCAATCTTTCATTTGAAAGCCACGTTTGTATAATCTATAAAACCGCATTCTTCCATCTTAAAAATATATCTTGCATTCTCAAAATTCTGGCCAGTTGATAATACCTAGAATATAAAAATCAACTGCAGGTGGTAAATCCTTTTCCTATTTAGCACTTAAACTTTGGAACAGATTTCCTAGCATTGTTCAGGAAGCAGACAACCTCTGTCAGTTTAAATCTTGACTGAAAACACTGACCTGACATACACATGACATATTATCAATTTCTATAACTCATGTAAAATGATTATTAGGCTGCATAAATTAGGTCAGCCGGAACCGAGAACACTTCCCATAACACCTGATGTACTTGTTACATCATAAGAAGAATGGCATCTACGCTAATATTAGTCTCTCTGTTTATCCCAAGGTTTACCGTACTCAGCTCGTACCTGCGCCTAGACATGACCACAACACAGTCCTGAAGTGTCAGCAGAGATCGTGTCAACTAGACTGTCCCCTGCAAAGGCCTCATCGACACGACAAAAGGGTTTTTCTTCCCCACGACAAACGTTTTGTTCGTTGCAAGGACAAGCAATTGGCAATGTCACTTTGTAAAGAAAGACTACACGCCTGCGCACATATGCATTCAAACATGCATGCCTATAGACTAAAAACGTAATACGCATGTGCATGCTGTCACCGGTTTCACAGATTCACATTTTTGAAGTTTACACAGAGATGATAACAGTATCGCTTTCAAAACCTACTTCAAAGTCTGCATTCTCAGGCCACCAAAATGCTGTTGTTGTGTAAATGAACAGCCAGAATGGATTAAAAGTTTTCTGTTTTCAGTTGAAAACGGTGTTGTGTAAGCAGCCCCTAAGTTATTAACTGAGTTTTACAACGGAATCAATTCAAAACGTACCTAATGAAAACTTACAATGACTTTCTTCTAGACCTGCTCTACAGCCAAAACAATCTTTGTTGCATTAATTTACTATTATCACTGTAAAGCTGCTTTGAAACAATCTGTATTGTAAAAAGTGCTATATAAATGAAGGTGACGTGACCTGACTTGACTTGACACCTGGTGTTAAGATTGGTCGATCGGATAACAAGTGGACAACGCTAAATGCAGGTGTGAAAATGCATTAGTGTAAATGCTCATGTGGTCGAATGTGTTCGAACAGCCACAAAAGACCAGCTACCCTCTCCCTACTGACTTAATGCGTAGACATTATGGGAAGTGCGCTAGCCAGACGGGATTTAAACTTTGGCTGGAGACCCAAGTTTGGTTTGAAGACAAAAAACGTCCCAAGCACAATGTACTCTCACCATTCCTGATTTCTAACACGCAACAGCATTTGCTGTGGTCTTGCAGGTATCAGAGCAGAAACAAAAGCTACTGCTCTACATGTTTTTCTGTTTTCTCTGATTGTGTTTATATGTAAATTGCACAAGCTTATTTTGTTCATTAGATCGAAAGAACATTTACATTTCTCAAAGAAATCAGGACAGAAGAGGTTGAAAGTGGACAAAAGAGATGGGTTAAAATACCAGGTGTAAAAGGGTATGTGTCTCCCTAGTCTACTTGTGATCCCATCAACCAAACCGCATCTTAATATCAGGTGTAAACAGGGCCTTTAAGTCGACCATGAACTCCTCTGTGTACCGAAGTATTCTAGAGTCAAATGTGAAGTCATCTGTCTAACAGCTAAAGCTTGGCTGAAATTGGGTCATGCAACTGTCATTAAAAACATTTTGAAATTTCATTTCATTTATTGCTGGCAAAGCTGAATGTTAAGCATCATTACTCCAGTCTTCAGTGTCCCATGATCCTTCAGAAATCATTCTAATATGATGTTTTATAATATATGCATTTCTCCTCAAACATGTTTTTCACTTCTTCATGGCCTATTTTGAGTTCCATGAGGTTATTTAGACAGCAAACTGTGATCAGGGGTCACACATGCATTCATGGGGTCAAATATTTAGACAGATGCTCCTACTGAGATGAATAGATGGAGAGAGAGAGAGAGAGGTGCAGGACAGAAGTATTTATCAATTCAGTACCCTATTGGGAAGTCATATGAAACAGAGGACAAACCATGACAGTGGATGAAGAATAGGCTACATCCAATAGGATATTCTCAGTGACTTGATCGTCTTTTTTTTTTCTTTTTTCTATTTACAGCTATTTTGATTGTGCTCGAGCATAATCGTGATTTGCTGGGGTTTTTTATGTTTACAATTAATGTGATAGTTATGAGAGTGCGAACAACCCGTTGATGTCATATTGAATAAGCATGACCGCAGTTCTCACAATAATCGCCGCCGCGCTTCTCAGTGTTGTGAGCGCGCGACCTGCGCTGATGCCAGATCAGTACGCACGAGGAGTGGTAAGAATATTTAAAGTGTTTATTAATACGAACGCTTATGTTTGATAAAAAATACATTATTTTAATGTATCTCATATGCAATGTTGGTCAGATAAGTGTCAGATTTTTATTAAGTGGCAATAAAGTATTTGTCGTCTGGAATTTATTTTCAGGGAAATGTAATCTTCATGAAGACATTTTCAGGTAACACTTTACAATAAGGTTCATTAATAGATAACATTAACTAAAACGAACTAAGAATGACCAATACTTATTCAGCATTTATTAATTTCAACATTTACTAATACATTATTAAAATCGAAGGTTGTATTTGTTAACTTGTGCACTGTGAACTAACATGAACAAACAATGAACAGCTTATTGTTATTAACTTATATAGGTTAATTACGGTGGCCGAGAAAGCTCAACGCGCTGCAACTGAAGAAAACACATGCAAATAGAAGAAAATCCATGCAAAAAAAACACAAAAAAACCCCACATGGAAATAGAAAAAAACGCATGCAAATAGAAAACACCCCCGCAAATTAAGAAAACATCTTCATCAGTTTCACAACACACGTGAGCTCCAAATACTCACAACACCACCGAATACAGAAACACGCTGCAAAAGCTCACAACACAAAAACAGAAACGCGCTGCAAATAACACAGAGCACAACGGAAATGTATCCAGGGGAACCAATTAAGTGACGAACCCGGCTGGGACTGGGACGTGCTGGTATAGATATCCATAATCTATGCGTGCTGGTGCTTACAGCTTAAAATTCTACTTATGTATTTATTTATTTTTGCAAAACATACAGAGATTACAATTTTATGACATACAGTATACAATATACAAAATGTATTAACAATATCTTCAATGTCATCAGAATACAAATGAGAAAAGAACAATGAGCTGAAAACTAAAATAAAAAAGATAGAGAGGAATAACATGACGGAAAGATATTTATCTTTCATCAGTTACACTGTACAAATTGTTTCATGTTATGTTTAAATTTTCATAAAGAAAAGTTTCATAAGAAAATGTTAGGTAATGTAGGGTCCAAAGTTTTAAAGTTGAGACACAAATACACGCATATTTTAAAAGCTTTTTTGTAAAGCAAACATAAAAATGTATTTGCAACCGTTATGTTAACCGCATTATATTTCTGTGGTAAGAACAGCTCTTCAGCTGATGGACGCCGTGCTGCGTTGTCATGGGAACATCCCAAGTGAAAATAATGAGGAATTACGTTGTAAATCATCAGTTTTTCTCTCTTTTGAGCTGAGGTATTTGGGCATCTCTTTCTTTCTTAGTTTTTGAACCGGATTTTGAAACAGCAGTCTGGTTGGATAGATTCGAATAGTCTCCAGATAGCATCTATTCATGCCTAAGAACTGGGAGATATAAAGAATTTGTAGCCTAGAGATAAACATAACTCGCAACAAAATCACAACTTCAATCGTTTCATTCATTTTCCTGGAAAGAGAGCATTATATCAACATTCTCTGAAAATGCATCATTCAGCATCCCTATAAGAGAAAATAAAATAATTTTAGGCATTACTTGTGCATTACAGCAATTATAGCAGCAATAACTATTTCACTTTCTGGGTGAAATAGTATGTTTCTTCACTTCACGTGTGGGATTGAAGAATAATCGGGAAGGTATAGAGCAAGCAGGAGACGGAACAAGTTTAATTTGAGTCACATGCATCCATCGAGTCGCACCTGGCTCAAAGTACAGAGGTTGGAGTTGTCAACAACACTGGATTAGGGCCGGCATATCGAGTGCCCATGGGCCCAAAAATCCCAATTTTCTCAATTAGAACCTGATCCCTCACTTGTACAGGGTTCTGAACCCGTAAATTGAAAGCAGCGCTTGTCAAATCTTTCGTGTTTTGAGCAGTGCGAGCAGTGAAATGAGTAATTTTCAAAGAATTCGTCATCAATTTCAAATACTCGTGTAAATTGTCCTTTAAGGACCAGTAGGACCTGCTCATGACAATGGTGCATCATACGGTAATGACATAGGACGCCCCATGCTAATTTCCAAAGGTGACAGCCCTGTGGTGCGATTTGAAGTGGCTCTCATAGCCATGAGAACTTTTGGCAGGTACTTAAACCATCCGCCATCAAATTCTGTAGGCTATTACAAAAAGTAGCCTAACTGTAAACAACACAAGCTGTCATAACAAAATCTGATACACATATTATAAATTAATTGGGTAGATCATTTTTTGTAAACTCTACAGTTTTTCAAGTTTGGGGATGTTTCATTGCTTTCAGAGCTGATTTTATTATTATTTTATACATCAACAATGTATAATATTTGTTTGTTTGTGTGTGTGTGTGTAGGACTGGTTGATACGGTATGGGTATTTACCATCTCCAGACTCTCTAATTGCTCGACTTCAAACCAGGGAGGGTATTGAAGAAGCTGTCCGTAAAATGCAGCGATTTGCTGGTATTGAAGAGACTGGCAAACTAGGTGACAGATGATCTCCGTATTCACTGTTTTTAACTGTAAGACTTGAGGTTTATTCAGATGGAAGCACAAGTAAAGCCCTCAGAACTCTCTCTGCCACGTGATCTTTTCACGTCATGCATTGCCACTATAGTTCTGATGATTCCATTTTTGTCGAACTTTAGATCAGGCCACTTTAGAAATGATGGGCAGGCCTCGCTGCTCTCTCCCGGACAGAAATGTACATTTGTGTTTTTGTGATACATTTTAGTAAATATTTGTTGCATTATTTTAGTATAATTTGTGTTATACCTAATGATGTCCCTGTGCAACATCTTTATGAGTATTGGCCATGTTTTATGGACAGGCCAATTATGATCAACTCAATTAACAAGCAGATTTTGGCTGTTCAAATAGACTTACTTATATTAACATTATACCACTTTATAAAATATATGGTCATGAATTGTAAAATATACAGGCACTAATATGCCATCCTGTAATTTTAAAAACACTGTATTCCTGGTGAGCATATTGTTGCTGTTTCTTTACCATATACAGGATTCATTTTACAATGTATCCTTTATCTAATGTAATAACCAGAATATTAATCTTACATGTCTCTCTTCTTTTCCCTAGCGTGCAAGATTTTCCCTCTCCCTCCATGTCTCCCACTCTACATCCAGGGCTGGTAAGGCTCATTTTGACCTATGTTTTCCGAGCATGGAGTGATGTCACACATCTGCGTTTCCACGGGATTCGCCCTTCTCCATATGACCCGTCACCACAGACAGACATCAAAGTCACCTTCGCCAGTGGCTACCATGAGGATGGATATCCTTTTGATGGCAAGGGAGGCACACTGGCACATGCATTCTTCCCAGGAAAGGAAGATCTTGCTGGTGACACACACTTTGATGATGGAGAGAGCTGGAGCTATGGAGGTACATTAAATGCTACATATTTGTGTATCTAATCTCATTATTCACAGATATTCATAGATAGATTAAAAGAAAAGAAGATGGGTCAGAAGTGCTTCAAAGTTTGATGTTTTCTTCCACAGAAAGGAGCAGCAATACTGATTTATTCACAGTTGCAGTGCATGAGTTTGGTCATGCTTTAGGCCTGTTTCACTCCTCCTCCAATGATTCCATCATGAAGCCTTATTACTATGGCCCTGTGAGAGACATGTACAGCTACACCTTACCCCTTGATGACAGACTGAGAATACAGGCACTCTATGGGACTCCCTAATATGTGAATAAATAAATAAACTCATCTGTTCATTTCTCACAACTGTGTTTAATATACAGGAAAAAGACCAGATTTTAAACCTTCTCCATCTGTTTCTGCACCCACAACTATTCTGCCCCATTTCTTGACCCCTGCTCCTCCACATCCTCCCTATCAGTGAGTAACACTGTGATCATGAAAGGTTTGACAATGGTTGTTATATTTTTCTTAATGCTTTTCTCTTTTTTTTAGCCCAGCAGCCTCTGCTGATCGCTGTCTGGGAGGTTATGATGCAATCGCTAATATCATAGCAGAGGTTTTCTTTTTTAGAGGTATGATGTCTGAATTATACCATTCAAATCTTTGGCATCGGTAAGATTTGTAATGCTTTTGAATGCTTATGCTCATCGAGGCTGCTTTTATGTGATGGAAACTACAGTACAAACAGTAATATTGAGAAATATTATTACAATGAAATCTTATGATGACAAAGCTGAATTTTCAGCATCATTAATACTCCAGTCTTCAGTGTCACATGATCCTTCAGAAATCATGCTAATATGATGATTTGCTGCTAAAGAAAAAAACAACTTATTATTATGAATGTTGAAAATGGTTGTGTTGCATGCTTAATATTTTTGTGGGATCTGTGATAAAAAAAGTTCAGAATTCTGTGATGAATTGTTCAAAAGAACAGAATTGATTTGAAATAGAAAACATGTGAATATGAATGTCTTTACTGTCACTTGATCAATTTAGTGTGTCCTTGCTGAATTTAAGTGTTCATTTCTTTTCAAAAACAACAACAACAACAACTTTTGAACATTTGTAGACTGTGTAAAAGTATCAGAGGGACTTCCCTTTGGGGTATCCTCAACATATCCTGAAAATAATTGGTGGAAAGGTATTGTAAGAAAAAATGATGAGGACGTTGCAGATCTCAAAGATGAAGTTTATTGCAGCATAGCAGTGGCAATGTACGTAAAGCACATTGGGTTAACCGGCGTCAAAATGAACCCAGAACATCCAAATCTCAAACCTTTTATCCTGTTTTACCAATGAAATTGCTCCTGTTGTAACAGCTGTGGCCTGTATGTTAATGAGGTTGAGACACCCAATTGTCTGAGATGGTTCTCTGTGTCCCACAACCATTCCATTCTACAACTGATGACCATTTGCTCAGGATGTGATCAACTCAATGTTACGGAACAACAAAGGCAGGATGCAATTGCAAAGAACGCTATTTATTATCTCAGAATGATCAGGAAAGTACAAACACACAAATGGCACTACTCAGAGGAATGGTCGAGCGGACACCAGCGCTGATGGTGAGGTGACGCAGGGACCTCGGTGGACAACAGGTGGTGGTGCTCTGTGATCCAATGGTGGTGCTCTGTGGTCCAGTGGTAATCCCAAGACGGTGCTCTGTGGTCCAGTGAAGGTGAAAGAAATCCAACGAACCGACACGACGAGAGACACAGGGAAATCCACAATCCAGGAAGACAGACACGGGAACAGGAACAGGAACACGCCAAGGATACCAAACAACGATCTGGCAACATGAGACAGCAGTTACTGACATATAAAGGGACAAACAAGTGGAACCAGCTGGCGCCACTAATCAAAGATAATCAGCGGCCACACCCACACACACGCAACAGCACGCAGGACGAGAGAGAGACGGTGAATTGATCAACCGTGACAGTACCCCCTCCCCTAGGAACGCCTCCAGGCGTTCCTCGACGGACTTACCTGTCGATTGTAATCATCGATCAGGGAGTGATCCAAAATGTCCCTAGCAGGAACCCAACTTCTCTCCTCCGGACCGTAACCTTCCCAATCCACCAGGTACTGGAATCCGCGTCCCCTCCTTCTCGAGTCCAGAATGCGATTAACCGAATAGGATGGTTCCCCATCTACGAGTCGCGGCGGGGGGGGGGGGGAACCGGGACCGGCGGATTAATGGGTGCTTGAAACACAGGTTTAATTTTGGACACATGGAAGGCGGGATGAATTCTCCTGTACGCAGGATGAAGTTTGAGTCGGACTGTCACCGGACTAATGATCTTGGTGACAGGGAATGGGCCAATAAATTTAGGAGCAAGCTTGTTAGATACGGATCGGAGAGGAATGTTCTTAGTAGAAAGCCACACTTTTTGACCAACGACGTATATCGGAGGCTTCGACCGGTGGCGATCTGCCTTAGCCTTGGTGCGCGCCCTCACTTGGAGAAGAGTCTCACGGGCTCTAGTCCAAGTGTGGTGGCACCTCTGGACGAAGGCGTGAGCAGAGGGGACCGCGACCTCGGATTCAGTACTGAGAAAAACTGGTGGCTGGTAACCTAAACTACCTTCGAATGGTGTAAGGCCCGTGGATGACACTGGTAACGAGTTGTGTGCGTACTCCACCATAGAAAGTTGCTGGCTCCAGGAGGAAGGATTCTTGGAAACCAAACATCGCAACACTCTCTCCAAATCTTGGTTGGCTCTCTCGGTTTGACCATTGCTTTGGGGATGGAACCCCGAAGAAAGACTGACAGTCACCCCCAGAAGTTTACAAAACTCTTGCCAAAATTTGGACACAAATTGGGGACCCCTGTCAGAAACCACGTCCATCGGGAGGCCATGTAAGCGAAAGACGTGATCAATGACAGTTACCGCTGTCTCCTTGGCGGAAGGTAATTTGGGCAAGGGAATAAAGTGGGCCGCCTTCGAGAACCGGTCCACGACGGTCAAAACGACTGTCTTGCCCTGGGAGGGCGGGAGGGCGGTGATAAAATCTAGCGCAATGTGGGACCAGGGTTTTGAAGGGACAGACAGCGGTTGGAGTAACCCATCTGGGGGTCGATTGGAGGATTTACCAGTGGCACAAACCGAGCAAGCCAAGACAAAACTGCGGATGTCACGAGCCATAAGTGGCCACCAGAATCGTTGCCTTACCAAAAAAATGGTGCGATTAGCTCCTGGATGACAGGCCACGCTGGAACAATGCCCCCACTGAATAACGTCGGACCGACACTCCTCTGGCACAAATAAGCGATTCGGTGGGCAATCGGGCGGAGGCGTTACCCCTTCTAAGGCCTTCACAGGGCTCTAGAGTGCGACCAAAATTTGTAAGGGTGCGACTAAATTTTTTCCTAGCTCGCAACAGTGCACCTAATAACGTTCTCGCATGATCGCATCCGTTGCCTCTCCACAAACGAGTCTTTTGTTCTCCTTGCACGCATGGTTGGATCATATCGTGGTCTAAACCAATCAGAGATAGAGATTGGGAGGGTCTTTGCCTCTGATTGGCTGTGGTTATGTTCCGTGCTGAAAATGCTCTGTGCTGTGTGATTGAAATAAATTGCGACGTGAGCACCAGAGAATCAGTTACGGCAATCAGCAGCATCAGCTAAATAAACGCAAGAAAACAGACGACGAAGAAATTTTTAAAAATGTAGGCTACTTGAACTAGGGCTAGGTGAAAAATATTGATTTCTCGATTTTAATCGATTCTCATTTTTACGAACCGTTGGGCTATGCTGTTTTCAGTTGATGAATGAATGGAACATTGTAGCGAGCATCCCATCCAATAAATCGCAATAATCTTTGTGCTTTGTTACTATTCATATGAAACAAAGTCTCAGATTTCAAATTAGGTCCATTTTCTTATGAAATTCAAAAACATAAATAGTGTGTTGAGTCGACGCTGTGGCGTGAGATCGCTCTGGCTCAGCTCAGCTCAAGAGAAGCAGCAGCAGCGGAGCGCACATGATCTTCTCTTCCGCCTTAATACGGTAATACCAGTTACAGCGCGAAATAAACATGAACGAGCATCTGAAAGTGTGCTAAAAGATAGAGTACAACTTATCGAAATCGGTATCTTTCACATGGAATCGCTCAATCAGTGTTTCAACCGTGGAAAGACATCAGTAAAACGCTTGTAAACAATGTAATGTAATGTCACATTTAACTTACCTCAGAAAAAACATATCCAGTGCCCATAAACTCGTTAGCTAGCTAGAAAAATTAACTCTAGAGAGGAGCATTTTGCCAAATATATGCACCATATTGCATATTCATTATAATTTTTAATGTTTTTCAATATTTAATGCATGTTGTTTGAAAAAATCTGGCAAGTTTTTATGCAGCCACCATTTAAATGTTTATATTTCATATAACTTTATTATTATAAAAATAAATAAAAGTGTAATTTAGGTGTTTGTGTACAAATCAGGTAATTTTTACCTTCAATATTATAGTAGGCTAATGAAGCATAGTGGGCTACAACTGACTCCCAATTTACAGCATTAGTTAAGAGATTTGTTTTCCTTGAGAAAATTTGCCATGTATTGTACCTGATATCCAAAATAATCAATATTGAATCGAATTGTGAAATTTGTGTCAATACCCTGCCATAACTTGAACAATGTAAAAACAGCACTTTAAATGTTTATTTTTTTTAAAGATTTATATTTTTATATACAGTATAATTGTGCTAAAAAAAAAAAAAAACTACACCTTATTATTCTTATTCTTCTTTAAAAGCATTTACATAATATATATGAATGTATATGGAGCGTGATAAAAAGGTGACCTTGAAATTGTGGCGTTAAAGGCGACGCGAGACGAGGAAAAATTTTAGTGCACCTAAATTTTGTGCTGGTGCACCTAAATAAAAAAGTTAGGCGCACCAGTGCAACCAAGGCAAAAAGTTAGTCTGGAGCCCTGCTTCATGACCCTCGATTCAACCTCCCACCTAAGAGTGGAGACGACTAAAGTCTCGGGTAAAATACACTCGGGAGTAGACGGGCGTTCGGATTGATCAAAAATACGAGATAAAGAATCGGGTTTGATGTTTTTGGAACCCGGGCGGTACGAAAGAGAAAAGTCAAAACGTCCGAAAAAAAGTGCCCACCGAGCCTGCCTACAATTGAGTCTTTTAGCGGTTCTAATATACTCTAGATTCTTGTGATCGGTCCATACGATAAAAGGTACCCCTGACCCTTCTAACCAGTGACGCCATTCCTCCAGCGCCAGTTTGACTGCCAACAACTCTCTGTTACCAATGTCGTAGTTACTCTCGGCAGGTGATAAACGATGGGACAAAAACGCGCAAGGGTGCATCTTGTCGTCTGTGGAAGAACGTTGGGAAAGAACTGCTCCTACCCCCACCTCTGATGCGTCCACCTCCACCACGAACTGACGTGATGGATCAGGGGCAACGAGGATGGGTGCCGAAACAAAGCGACTCTTAAGTTTAGCGAATACAGCCTCGGCTGTATCGGACCACCTGAACGTCGTTCTGGGGGAGGTCAAGGCAGTCAGAGGTGCGGCTAGTTGGCTGAAGTTGCGAATAAAACGCCCATAAAAATTGGCGAACCCCAGGAACCTCTGTAGGGCCTTACGGGAATCTGGACTTGGCCAATCAATCACAGCCTTAACCTTGTCTGGGTCCATACGCATTCCCTCAGACGAGACGATGTACCCTAGGAAAGGAACAGACTGTGCATGAAAAACGCATTTCTCCGCCTTGACAAAAAGCCCATTCTCTAATAACCTTTGAAGCACTCGTCTGACGTGCTGAACGTGTTCCTGGAGAGAAGATGAAAAAATCAATATATCATCCAGGTAAACATATATGAATTGGTCGACCATATCTCTCAACACGTCATTGACGAGTGCCTGGAAGACCGCCGGGGAGTTGGACAGCCCGAACGGCATGACCAAGTATTCAAAGTGCCCCCTAGGGGTATTGAACGCGGTCTTCCATTCATCGCCCTTCCTTATGCGAACCAAATGATAAGCGTTACGTAAATCCAGTTTTGTGAAGATGGATGCTCCCTGTAACCGCTCGAAGGCTGAAGACATCAACGGCAAAGGATAAGTATTCTTTACCGTGATGTTGTTCAACCCCCGGTAATCAATACACGGTCGCAGAGATCCATCCTTCTTCCCCACAAAAAAGAATTCCGCCCCCGCAGGAGATGAGGAAGGACGGATGAACCTGGATGCTAGAGAATCAGAAATATACTTCTCCATAGCCTCCCTCGCTGGAACAGAAAGTGAATATAACTTGCCTTTAGGCGGAGACTTACCTGGCACTAAGTCTATGGCACAGTCATAGGGACGATGCGGAGGAAGAGAAGCAGCACGAGACTTACTGAACACTTCCCTCAGGTCCTGGTACTCCTCGGGCACGTTTGACAAATTCACTGCCTCCTCCTGGAACACAGAGACTGGTACAGACGAACACACAGACACTAGACATGACTCATGACACATATTACTCCACATAGACACAGAGTTGTGACCCCAATCGACTCTGGGGTTGTGCTGTGTGAGCCACGGATGGCCAAGTACAATGGGTGTAAGTTGAGAGTCCATGAGGAGGAATGTTATTGTCTCAGTTTGATTGCCAGATGTAGTGAGAGTGATGGGTTCAGTGGCATGTGAAATGTTAGGAAGTTGTTGTCCATTGAGAGCATTGACGGCGATCTTGTGCGTGAGAAGTCTTACCGGGAGGAGAGTAGATGATGGTGATGAGGTCTTCTTGGCGGAGATCCCACCCGATAGTAGCCTCATTGTTACTACCGGGCTTGATCTTTTACTGGGCACGAGTTAATAAAGTGCCCCATCTTCCCGCAGTATAGACACAGTCCATGGGATCTCCGGCGTTCTCTCTCCTCCCGGGAAAGCCGAGCTCTACCCACCTGCATGGGCTCGTGATCGGAGACGGGGCTGACCGTGTCCAAGTGTTCAGCGCGCAAACTCTCCGCGCCACGAAATGGCTGGTTCTGTAGGAAGCGACCCATTCTACTCAGACGGGCATCCACTCTCAATGCCAGTTTGATGAGTCCATTCAGCCGAGGTGGCAGATCCAGCAAATAAATCTCCCGTTGGACACGGTCAGCCAGCCCATGCAGGAAAGCATCCCACTGCGCCTCCTCGTTCCATCGGCACTCTGCAGCCAGGGTGCGGAACTGGATAGAATATTCCGACACCGAGCCGTTACCTTGGCGGAGATCAGCGAGTAGTCTGGCCGCCTCCCTACCCGCTACCGCGCGATCGAAAACCCTCCTCATCTCCTCGGAGAGTGCCTAGAAAGAGGCGCAGCATGGGTCTTGATTCTCCCACACCGCCGTTCCCCAAAGAGCCGCCTTGCCAGATAGCAGAGTGATAACGAATGCCACCTTTGATTGTTCTTGACTGAACGTCTGGGGCTGTAAGGCAAAATGCATGGAGCAACGAGTCAGGAAAGCTCTGCAATATTCGGGTTCACCTGCATATCCTTCTGGTGTGGGAAGTCGTGGCTCTCGCTGATGGTGCGGCTCCGGTGGAATGGGTGGAATGGGATGAACGGGTGGTGTGGGCGGCGCAGTGGGACCTCTTAGTTGCTGAAGCTGTTGGGTGAGCTCGGACACCTGCGTCACAAGCGCTTGGACCGCCCGACCTGTGCTGGCGATCGACTCTTGCTGTTGATCCATTCTCGTGATGCTCATGGCGGCAAAGTCGTCCCAGCTCGTAGCGCTTGCTGCATCCATGATGTGGTCAGATCGTTCTGTTACGGAACGACAAAGGCAGGATGCAATTGCAAAGAACGCTATTTATTATCTCAGAATGATCAGGAAAGTACAAACACACAAATGGCACTACTCAGAGGAATGGTCGAGCGGACACCAGCGCTGATGGTGAGGTGACGCAGGGACCTCGGTGGACAACAGGTGGTGGTGCTCTGTGATCCAATGGTGGTGCTCTGTGATCCAATAGTGGTGCTCTGTGGTCCAGTGGTAATCCCAAGACCGTGCTCTGTGGTCCAGTGAAGGTGAAAGAAATCCAACGAACCGACACGACGAGAGACACAGGGAAATCCACAATCCAGGAAGACAGACACGGGAACAGGAACAGGAACACGCCAAGGATACCAAACAACGATCTGACAACATGAGACAGCAGTTACTGACATATAAAGGGACAAACAAGTGGAACCAGCTGGCGCCACTAATCAAAGATAATCAGCGGCCACACCCACACACACGCAACAGCACGCAGGACGAGAGAGAGACGGTGAATTGATCAACCGTGACACTCAAGTGGTGAAGAAACAATATAACTTGACTTTCCTCTTCTCTATGATAATTAAGCCATTTTGGGGATGAGCTCATTCTAAAATTTTCCATGGAGTGGAATCTGGATCGAGGCAGACAACAATTTCTTACAGTATCAAAATGATAAATTAAAGAATCCTCATCCTCTACCTCAAACCATTCTCTTTTTATCAGGTCCACACTATTGGAGAGTACATCATTCAGGCTCATTAATGTCCTTGACTCCAGCTCTGATCCACAGCTTCTGGATCGGTTTGCCTCCAGAAACAACTAGAGTTGATGCTGCATATGAGAGAAGAGATGGATATATTGTATTCTTTATTGGTAAGAATGAATAAATAGACCCAAAATGTAAAAATATGTGTATTTAAACAAGTGAGTGAGTACAAGCAATAGTTTATTATTTTCATACTATAGGGGCTTTTGACTGAAATGGAGTGTAAACAGAAAGATTGAGAGGATGCAACATATTAGAAATAGTGGTTGAAAAACAAGCTGGCTGTTTACTGGCTGTTGTACTCAGGAGCATCTTCATTCCTTATTTTGAGTCTTTTACATTCTCGTTTTTTTCTCAGGTAATCGGTACTGGGTATTTAGAAACACAATGTCCCTCCCTGGGTACCCACGACCACTTTCAGATTGGGGTTTATGCTCTTCTGCAGGACAGGTAATAGAGAGAGTGGAGGCAGTATTTCTGTGGCCGCACAATGGGAGGACGTACCTGTTCAGTGGTGGAGAGTACTGGAGGTTTGATGAGGCGGGAACAGAGAGGAAGCTGGAGGAAGGGTACCCTAAACTGGCATCCATCTGGGGGATGCCCTCTCGCCCTGATGATATCATTGGATTTCTAGATGGTAAGATGCGTCTTTTATCATAAAAGATTTTATTTATAATGATTTCCATTTGTTTTTTTGTTTTTTTTTGCTCCCGAACCAACCTCCTCAAACTATTTCATCCACAATTCCCTCAGGAGACACCTACTTCTTTAAAGATTCAAACTACTGGATTTTAAAAAGAGGAGGCCTGGAGCAGGAATCTGCTTTCCCGAAGTCCATTGCTACTGACTGGATGAAATGTGATGGTAACCTTTCAACTCACACACCTGAGATTCCCAGAAGAGACAGAGACTGTAGTTGCATCCAGAGTTCAGCAGCTGGAATATGTGCTTTGTTAGCTGTTATATATTCAATTATGGTAGTCTGTATTTTGGTTCTAACTGATAATATTCATATTATTTGTGTAGTATTTACTGCGATTTTTAATGTTGTGACTGTGTAGTTAGTAAAAATTATTTTAGCTATCAATGAATTAGTCATCATCTGGGATAGTAAAGTGTCCAATGGTTCCTTACTTTAGAATCTAAGCAGATGCGGTGTAATCTTGGTATTGTTTGCCTACTGTTTCTTGAATACTGTGTATTCGGATATCTTACTCATGACATACTGCTTTTTACAAACTATATATAAAATATATTACAGTACATAGCCTACTAAATGGTCAGTGTTTTGAAGAGCCCTAGATGGTCTCAAAACTAACACACTATGGACTAAAAGCCACGAAACAATACTTAAATAATAAAACTCATACTGTGTGAGGCTTATTCTGTGTGTTTTTTTACTCGATTACAACCAAAGTTAATTAAGCCAGGTGCACACTGTATTATGTATGAAGACTGGAGTAATGATGCTATAAATTCAGCTTTGATATCACAGAAATAAATTATATTTATTAAATTACATTATATTTATTATGTAATTATATAAAATATTATTATTTTTTACTGTATTTTGAACAAATAAATACAGCCGTGCAGCAGAAGAGACTTCTTTCAAAAACATTTGAAAAAAATCTTTCTTCGAAGAATCAAAAAAACACTTGCATTGTCACAGCGAGTGAAGAAGGATGAAGTGTGTTACGATATGATGAAGCATTTATCAGAAGATGGATTAAATATAATCTTAAAGCTTTACAATGAAGTATGGGAATCAGGAAAACTCCCGTCTTCATGGAAACAAGGAGTGGTAGTACCTATTGCAAAGCCTGGGAAAGACCACTCAATTCCGACAAATTATAGGCCTATTGCTTTGACATCAAATACAAAGTAATGGAAAGAATGATTATGTCTCGAGTATTATTTTATTTGGAGACCAGAAATTTGATACATCCATATCAGAGTGGGTTCAGAAAGGGTACTCTAGATGCAGTTGTATGCTTGGAGAATGAAATAAGGAAAGCTCATGTGAATAAAGAAGCAGTAAAAGGTAAAAAAAAAATTGACATTGAGAAAGCGTATGACACGGTGTGGAAGGAAGGACTGCTAATTAAATTAGATCGAATGGGCATCAAGGGGAGATTATATAACTGGGTTATGGATTTCCTGCAAGAACGAACCATACAAGTGAGAGTAGGTATTGGATACTCTGATATTTATCAAATAGACAATGGAACCCATAGTAGTGTTTGCAGCCCCATACTTTTTAATATGATGATAAATGCAGGATAGATGTTGTTGAAAACTGGGCTAATCAATGGGGGTTTTAGCAGCTGAAAGCCAGAATCCCCATTGATTAGCCCAGTTTTCAGGTAATATGTTTTTTAACTCCTGAAGTTAAAGGGTTAGTTCACCCAAAAATGAAAATGCTGTCAGTAATTACTCGCCCTCATGTTGTTCCAACCCCATAAGACTTTCGTTCATCTTCGGAACACAAATGAAGATATTTTTGATGAAATCTGAGAGTTGGATCACTCCTCCATAGGCTTCTAAGGGATTGAAACTTGCCGGCCCTGAAAAGTTATTAAAGACATCGTTAAAATAGTCCGAGTGACTACAGTGGCTCAACCTTAAAGCTGCAGTCTGTAGCTTTTTTTGGGTTAAAAATTATCCAAAATACATATTTGAGAAAATACATAACCAGCCAGTGTTCAACGCTATCTGCTTGCCGTAGCTCGATTCAAAGCGGTAAGCTTGTAATGATGTTTTTAATTCCAGTGGTACTGGTGGATTTCCGCGGGAGATTCGAGCATGTCTTTGCGTCATTACTTCACATCTGTACACATAAAGAAGGAGTCTCGGCTAGTAGGCTATATTGCGTGTGAGGATGCTGGAGGTGGAGATTTATAGCCTTTTCTCACAGCACTTGATATAGTTAAACTTATCAATTTGATGGCGGATCCAGAAAGGTTCAAACGACAATCACCAGTGACAACTGGAGACTCACCCGCCGTAAAATGCAAAAGACTTTGTTCGGACTTCGGAGTGGCTACAGAAAAAAAGAGACTGCAACCGGCCCATGCGAAAACAAGGATACATATTGGAAGGACAATAACATTAACAATTTGAGAACAAAGTATAATTTGCACGGTTTTGCGTGATATGATAACTTATAAGCGATTGTTAGATTTAATCAGCGCGATTTACTGCAATGTCAGAACCAGAACAAGGTGGATGTGGAAAGAGTAATAAAATATTCTACTCAAGTAAAAGTACTACTACTTCAATTAAATTTTACTTAAGTACAAGTAAAAGTACTGGTCTAAAAATCTACTCAAGTGAAAGTAAAAAGTAGCTCATTTAAAATTTACTCAGAGTAAAAGTTACTGAGTAACTTTTTTAACAGCGGGGGTGGGGTGGGGGACTCTCCCGTGTAGGCTTGTAATGGTATGAAATTTTCACAGTATGATAACGTCTCAGAAAATATCACGGTTTACAGTATTAATCAATTATTAAATAAATAAACTGTATTATTAAATTATGGGTATTATTATTATTATTTTCATCAGTTAAAATGACAGTTAAATTAAAGGGTCACTTCAGGATTTAGCATTAAGCTTTGTATCAGTAGAAAACCTGTAGTATTTTCGAATTACCGTGCTCCCCCTCCCCCCCCCCCCTGAATGTAGTGTTTACATGAACGCTAAACAAGTGATTGGTTGATGTGTGTTTTGACATTGCTAAGAAAATTCCCGCTCCTCCGTGAGAGATACGAGACCTGCGTCTCACAGGTGTCGCTCATCGGTAATCACGCCACCGGCCTCGCGCCGTTCTCCCGCGGCCCTAGCGTCGTCCTGCTCGCCACAGTAAACATGACTCGTGTCGTTCTCCCGCGGCCCTCACTCGTCCTGCTCGCCACAGTAAACATGACTCGTGTCGTTCTCCCGCGGCCCTAGCGTCGTCCTGCTCGCCACAGTAAACATGACTCGTGTCGTTCTCCCGCGGCCCTAGCGTCGTCCTGCTCGCCACAGTAAACATGACTCGTGTCGTTCTCCCGCGGCCCTCACTCGTCCTGCTCGCCACAGTAAACATGACTCGTGTCGTTCTCCCGCGGCCCTAGCGTCGTCCTGCTCGCCACAGTAAACATGACTCGTGTCGTTCTCCCGCGGCCCTCACTCGTCCTGCTCGCCACAGTAAACATGACTCGTGTCGTTCTCCCGCGGCCCTAGCGTCGTCCTGCTCGCCACAGTAAACATGACTCGTGTCGTTCTCCCGCGGCCCTCACTCGTCCTGCTCGCCACAGTAAACATGACTCGTGTCGTTCTCCCACGGCCTCTCACTCGTCCTGCTCGCCACAGTAAACATGACTCGCGCCGTTCTCCTGCGGCCCTAGCCTCGTCCTGCTCGCCACAGTAAACATGACTCGCGCTGTTCTCCCACGGCCCTAGCGTCGTCCTGCTCGCCACAGTAAACATGACTCGTGTCGTTCTCCCGCGGCCCTCACTCGTCCTGCTCGCCACAGTAAACATGACTCACGACCGTTCTCCCGCGGCCCTAGCGTCGTCCTGCTCGCCACAGTAAACATGACTCGTGTCGTTCTCCCACGGCCCTCACTCGTCCTGCTCGCCACAGTAAACATGACTCGCGCCGTTCTCCCGCGGCCCTAGCCTCGTCCTGCTCGCCACAGTAAACATGACTCGCGCCGTTCTCCCGCGGCCCTAGCCTCGTCCTGCTCGCCACAGTAAACATGACTCGTGTCGTTCTCCCGCGGCCCTCACTCGTCCTGCTCGCCACAGTAAACATGACTCACGCCGTTCTCCCGCGGCCCTCACTCGTCCTGCTCGCCACAGTAAACATGACTCGCGCCGTTCTCCTGCGGCCCTCACTCGTCCTGCTCGCCACAGTAAACATGACTCACGCCGTTCTCCCGCGGCCCTCACTCGTCCTGCTCGCCACAGTAAACATGACTCGCGCCGTTCTCCTGCGGCCCTCACTCGTCCTGCTCGCCACAGTAAACATGACTCACGCCGTTCTCCCGCGGCCCTCACTCGTCCTGCTCGCCACAGTAAACATGACTCGCGCCGTTCTCCTGCGGCCCTCACTCGTCCTGCTCGCCACAGTAAACATGACTCACGCCGTTCTCCCGCGGCCCTCACTCGTCCTGCTCGCCACAGTAAACATGATGAATGGCGACTGTAGAACGCAAAAGCCGAATCCTGGACATTATGGGCGATCTCGAAAAACCCGGGCAGACTCATCACGGAGACTCACTAGTAGCCTAGACTTGTTGTTCAACTACTGCGCTCTGTTACCGGTAGGCGTGGCCTCCTAGGGCAGCGAAGCAATTGCATTCTGGGAGTTGTTGTCTTTCATCCACATAAGCCAAAAATACATTTTCTGACTTTTCTCAGTCTAGAAAGCTCCAAATTCAAAAATAATTTCACATTTCTTCTACATAAATGACCCATTTTAAATACACATTCATCTTCCCAGAGGTGAAGTGCCCCTTTAATGAAAACAGGATTTTTTTTTGGTTGAACAAATGCTTTTATTATAACAAACTTGTAACCTTTTGTTTGTTTTGTTTATTAAAATTTCAATAAAACATGTCTAATCAATTAAATTTGATAATTGATAATGAATTAGATTAACAACTTATTTTTAACATTAATAATTTATTAAAATGTTTAAGAAAAATATTGTCCTATGAAATGTATTTTATTCAGAAAATTAATGTTTCTTTTTATGATTTAATCCAAATATATTATCAAAAAACGGTTGTAATCAAATGTAAATTTAAAATTGTGTCCTTTTATTTTTTGGGGGAAGCGCTGCAAAAACAGATTAACTAAATTAAACCATGGACAAAAAATATATTCCTTTAAATAATGTTTAAATAAAATGTATTATTATTGTTGTTATTATTATTATTTAGAGAAGTAGGCTACGTTCTATTGTATGCCTATAATAGTAATATATTTCTGTCCTAATTTCTCCTAGTAAAACCAAACTTTTATTTTGACGGGTTGTAGTGAAGACCAAAAGTGTAAAATAGTGTTTCAAAGTGTCTTTGACAATGGTTTATCTCAAATAAAATTATGAAAATGCTCATTAGGCGTTCTCTCAGAGCAGCTCTGGAAATGTTCATGTATTCATATCCTCAAATTGTTTGTGAGACTCTGAATGTCACGCGTACTTGAGTATGTAGTGGACAAAGCGGCGCAGCTCAGCAGAACAAATAGGGTTATATTTACATGCAGTATTTTTGTGCTAAGCTTAAATATTCACAGACCATGTCGCGATTGGATTTATTGCACAGTTCTACTTTCCATGTATTCATCCATCCATTATTTTGCGTGTTTTACGTGACATCTGCGTTATGTAAATTTCATTTTCATGACTGGATTCCGGGGTTCCCTCTGCATCACGTAAATCGGGACATACCTTTATCTGCAGGAGGGATGGTGTCCTATATCCTCCTTTTGCAGCCACTTTGCGTCCACATTTTTTGCAAATTGGATATCTATCCTCGAGGACAACTACGCTTTTTTTCTACAAAGTATTTTCATACTGGCCATAATTCGCTTGGCGCTTCGGTTTCAGCTTCAGCTGTGTCTGCGTCACCTTTTTTGCGCGTTTGTTCTCCCGCCCTTCAATCAATGCAGTAGTTTCCGGAGTGTGTTTTTTTTTCTTTTTTCTTTTTTTTTACTCAGTAACGGATATGATTTCAAATGTAGCGAAGTACAGTACTTCAAAGAAAGCATACTTAAGTAAAAGTAAAAGTACAGATTTTAAAAACTACTTAAAAAAGTAGAAGTACACAAAAAACTACTCAATTACGTAACACGAGTAAATGTAATTCGTTACTTTCCACCTCTGGATGTTTCTAACTTGTTCAGACGACATTTTCCGGTGAAAATTCATATGTTGGTCATACTTTCAAAAAGAGTAATCTGTGATTCTGAATGACAGTGGGATGCTGTCTGCACACGCAAGGTCTCTCGCTCGCTTCTCTCTGCCGTGCGCGCGCGCGGTTTGGAGCACAATATCTGTCTCGCATGCACGCTCGCTCTAGATTACGGGATATTTTAACTAATTTGCGGTATAACTAGTCGATCAACAGGTAGATCTATAGATAAACTCATCTTTCAGGCATTTGACCGACCGGGTTGACACTTCAGCGTGAGAGCGTGAGAATTGGGTCTCACGCTGAATGCGTGAATCAGATATAGTGTGGGACAGGGAAAGTTAATCTGAGGGTTAAATAAGGTTATGGTGGGAAGTGGGAGTTAAAGGGAGTTGGGGTGCAAACTGGAGGAGCTGAACACGCAGCGCCAGAGTTTTTTTTTATGGAAGGGGGAGGGGTAGAAATGTTAAAGGAAGCTGTATGTAAGAAATTTATTTCAATTAATCATAAAATGGCCCTGATATGTCACTAGACATTAAGAAATCATGTTCATTTCAAATACTTATATCACTGACAACAGTAGGGTTGAAATATTGTCATATTATATCATGCCAGGATATTGTCCTTTAAAAAGTGAAGTTGCAGCCCTCAACTGATGTTGATGTTGTCATGTTGTGTTTTGGTCTGATGCTCCTCCCTCCACCTATCTACCAATCACGAAGTCAGTAGTGTTGCGGCATCCGGGTTGCCAGCTCTGCTCTAGTTACCACAGCTGCAGCTCGTCACGTTCCTGCGGGATCCTGCAACCTATCTGGCAACCTCGAGTCAGGGGGGAGGTAGTCTCAGCCTCAGACGTCACGCCCACGGAACGTTGGCTAAACGTCTGATGCATATGGTACACTTAACTGGAAACACTTCAGGAATGTCGAAGTCGTCATCTGATTGGTTGAATTTGATCGGATTTCCGGGGGGTGCGAGTGTCGCGTTTATTTTCGGTCTGCCGGGAAACAAAGCGCAGACGTGTGATTGCGGAAGAAAAACTGTTGTGTTTACATGAGTGACAATGAGCATTTATCAAGATCAGCTAAACGTAGGATTCTCAAAAGTATGCGAGGTTCACGGCGTAGACTCTTTAAGAGATGTCCAGGAGTTTTGTTTGAGGCACTTAGTGGAGACAAAAAGAAATATTTTAGCCTGTTTGCCGACGGGATTTGGGAAGAGTATTATTTTCCAAGCCTGGCCGACCCTTTGTCAGCATTTATAAGGATTCCCAGCAGATCCAACTTTACTAGTTGTGTGTCCCCTCCTATCTATTACATAGCTGTCAACCCTCCCGTTTTTCCGGGTTTCTCACGTATTTTAGCTCTTTTCCCGCTGTCTTCCCGTTTTATTATTTTCCCGTAAAATATCCCGTATTTTTACGCTCTGATTGTGTGAGACATGCTCGGGCAGATTCGGCTTGAAGTCGTTCATCCTCGGATGCGGCGCCGCGCGCGCTGTTACAAAAAAAGCTGTGCACACAGCCAAGCGAAATGGGGTCTTGCCGGTCTTGCGCACCCAATGCGTAATCTTTGCCGCGCTCGTGCGGACGCGTCAAGTATAAACAATTATACTCCGTGTCAGCGCGCGCTTTGATCGGTAAAGGAGCACTGACCTCTCCCTAATCATCTCCAGCAGCCCCCGAAGCACCACGTACCGTTTCCCTCGTAAACTGATATTAGTAGGCCTATTTAAACATTCTCTGATAAAAAATGACACACTTTCTCTAATACACACACAAACTGTCTCTTTCTCTCTCACTCATTTGTAGTTATAAACTCTTTAGACTTTTAATGATTAGTGCTTTATTTTTAGTTTGTGGTGGGTAAGAAAAATTCCCTTATTTTGGGGATGGATTCCGGGAAATCTCCCTTATATTCAATGTTCAATGTTGACAGCTATGATCTATTATGGAAGATCAAGTGAAATACCTAACTGTGAAGGGGATATCAGCCGCGTTTGCGGGCAAACATGAAACAACAGACGCTGACATCGCAGCTGGCCGATTCAGTATTGTGTTCGGTTTTCTTCTCCTCCTTTGATTTTCTATGCTGACTGACTTATTGCACGCCGGTCTGTTGTTGTGGGGACATTTCCACGTGACGCTGAACGAAACGAACTGTAATTGGTTGTTTGACATGTCGGTCAAACGGCCTTGTGGGCGGGCCTTGGCCAAAGAAAGCTGCTATGAGTTCCAGACCTTCAGCCGTCAGTCTGAAGGTCTGGCTACGCGAGACTAGGGGGGAGGGGGAGGGGATACACCGCTCTACAGTAATTTGAAAGTGATTGCAGTACCAGTTTTGGCCACAATCTTACAAACAGCTCCTTTAAGAAATATAGGAAAGTGTTTCTGTTTCAAGCTACCTGATGATGGCAGTAATGCACTGTTAAGTGCGGTTGCCAATAAAAGGAAAAAGAAGAAGAAGAAGTGCGTGAATGGAATTGTGGGAAATGTAGTCGACAGTCATTCCCCGAAATTTCTCGCGAGATCGACACGATGACGTCCAAATGAGCGTTACCTGTTCATTCTAGCCAACGTTGCGTACATCGTTTTTATTTTTACAAGGATTATCTGATATAGAATCGTTGGGAATCCGCTAGCAGTGGCACATTTGCTCGGTCTTTGGTCTGTAAAGGTTCTACTTTTGTTCTCTCCCTGAGCGGAATCACAGAGGTACGTAGCGCACACGTAACAGAAGCTTAACGATAATGGCCAGTTAGCATGCTGTACTGTAGAGTGGTCCTGTTACCCCAAAGACACAGTTAGCGCGCTAAAACAAACCAAATTCTGTTATACAAGTAAACACTGGTGGTATTTAGTATGTATAACAACATAAACAGCACAAGTGAAAGTGAATCAGCGGACAGCGGTGTGAAGGAAGTATTAGCAGTACAGGAGGCCTCGGCCTGCTGCTGGTTTAAGACCGTTCTTCATCTCATGCTCGCGATACAGTGTCTCTCTGTTAAAATACAATGAGCCGCCTACCTAGACAGCATGTAGGGCATACTATGGGATATTTGGAGCGTTTAACACGACTTTAATGCTCTCTTGGGTGGCTTATTGTGATTCATTGTCATAACTTTGAGCACGTTTCAACATCATTTGATCAATTGTGTAGAACATACCACAGCACAAGTCTCTGTAAATGACCTACAAATAACACTTTGGTTGTCTTGCTTATATATTGAAACGTACTGCTTTACTTTCCATACTCGTGTGGTTTCATGAGCCTAATTCAGATGTTTTTTTTCCCCCGGCCATGTCTTAGACAAAGTGCTGAATCTGTCTATTTTTGGACTAACGTGGTTCGTGAATCCCAGCACATTAACCCTCAGAGACCCAAGCATTGATATGCATTTTTTTTTTACATGTCTGTAGAAAGCCATTAGTTGTAGAAAATAAAATGAAAACCCTATTGTTTAGGCAAAATTTGCTTCGGGGTATAATTTGGAAAAACGTTGCAAAATTTAAATTCTGGGCATTTTAGGCTTGCACAATTTCACCACTATTTTTTTTATTTTATTTTTTGCTATGCTAAGTGATCTCGCAACACAGTTCTGCACACAAATGAATAAAACAATAATACTCAATATCAACCAGTAAGAATACAGTCGTGAAAAGTTGACAAAACAGCTTAGAAAAGAGCTGGAAAAAGGAATCATTTGTACCATTCATATGTTCCATTGTGTGTAAACAATAGCATTTTTTTAACCCTAATACTCAGCATTATTTTTGCTAGGAAAATGGTCTCATTTGTGCATGTTAAAAAATGTCCAGTGAGTAGATACATAGAAATAAAATAAAAGGTGTTACATGTCAAAACTTACTTTGTAAATAGAATAGAATTTGTAACTAGAATTGTGTCAGCTGACTGGTGCAATTTTGTCTGAGTATAGGGAGCTGTTTTATATGCAAAGTATGCAACTTCCCCCCTCCAAAACGTTTTTTTTGTGATACATTTCAGTGTATACATTTCAGAGTGTCTGCTACTGTTGTGGTATTATTCAATTGCTTCATACAACCATTGCAGTTCTGCTTGGGTCTCTGAGGGTTAAATGGATAAATCCACTCAAGACTTGCGCAATATCAAGGCAGCCCTTAGTAGCCTGACTACGTCAGACTTCGTACTTCCGCTCAATTTCAGTTCGCTTCTGTACTCAGTCTGAGTTAGCGACCTATCTCTCAGTTTTCCTCCGGCCTGAAAACATCCGGCCAATCAACGAACAGAGGGCGGGCTGAGAGCCGTGGCGTAGACTTTAAGCGCAGAGTTTAAGGCCCCATCCACACTACTGCGTTTTAGTTTAGAAACGGAGAATTAAAACGAATACGATCTCCGTCCACACCAGCGTTTTAGCTGCGTATTAGAATTGATCTCCGTCCACATTAAAACGACTGAAAACGCGGATCACGTGACCATTCACCAACACTGGGCATGCGCGTGCCGGTGTAAACACAACTTCATTGATAAAATTATCCCACCATGCTCTGGGTTAACCCCAAACCGACGCTCCATGTACGGTCAACGCCGCCGCTGCACACGGGAATTGTCACAGATCGCTCGAATAATAGCTTGACTCCGGCGCATGTAGGCAGTTATAGCGTTGTAAAATGCAGAATTTACTTGTACAACAGCTGCTAGCAAAGATATACGCCATGACTGATGACACCCAATCATAGAGCCGAGCGGGAGCCTCTACTACGTCATCGTTTCTAAAGTCCTCCGTCTTGACCCGTCTACACTAAAACGCCCTCCGGAGTTTCAAAACGAAAAACGGATCGGCAGCGTTTCTAAACTTCTCCGTTTTGGGTCTCCGTTTTTGCCGTTTTAGTGTGGACGGGAGGTGCAAACGTAGCAAAAGGTCTCCGTTTTTAAACGAAAACGCAGTAGTGTGGACGGGGCCTAAGATTGTATTTTAGGTACCGTTAGGGAAATCGAAAACGACCGCGGATATGGAGATATGGGATGCAATTCGCTCTGTTGTGGAGAATATACCCGGCATTTGCAAACTGAAGCCCGAACAAGAAAACTGTTTGTTAAACATTTTGAATGGAGGTGATGTTTAAGTTGGAGAGAGAGATGATTGCGTTATGTGATTGGCTTATGGGTAGCCAATGATTTTATACTTCAGACAAGCCCCCCAAGTTCTCATTTTCTTTCTGAACTCTCAGAGCAGAGATGTATAATGGCATCGGGCTGACCACGCCGCGAGGCAGTGGCACGAACGGCTACGTTCAGCGGAATCTCTCTAGCGTACGCGTGAAGAGGAACAGGGATGAGCGCGGAGGAGAACGGGATGAGAAAGACAGAGAGAGACTGGAGAGCCAGCTGAACAGACAACCTAATGCTGAAATCCTAGAGCATCAGAGGAAGAGACAGCTGGAGGTGAAATGTGCCGAGCTGCAGGACATGATGGAGGAGCAGGGGTAAGATGAGATCCTAATCTGGGGTGCGTTTCCCGAAAGCATCGTTAGCCAACTTCGGGAAACGCACCCCTGAAGAGAATTTTTCATATGATTTTGTGTTAATGATCTGCACATAGAGAATGTAGCCTACGTATTTCCTCCCAGTGGCTTCTGAACTCTCAGTATCAAATTTAAATCGACGAACATGTCAGTCACAACAAAAAAAGTTTAAATATCTAAGCGGTAAAAGTTTCAGTACGAATTACCAAATCAGAGTATTCGAGTGATTTCTGAAGGATCGTATGACTGAAAAATCAGGTTTGCCATCACAGGAATAAATTGCATTTTAAAATATATAAGAATAGTTGTTTTTAATAATAATAATATTTCACAATATTCCTGTTTTGACTGTGCTTTAACAAATAAATACATCCTTGGTGAGCACAAGAGACTTTTCAAAAACATGTTTTTGTGTTGTTATGATCATTCTTAAAGAGCAAAGAGATCTTAAGAGTGACCTCTGACCAGTTCTTCTTGTGTGGCAGGTACTCTGCTGAGGAGATCGAAGAGAAAGTCAACACCTTTCGTTTGATGCTGCAAGAAAGAGAAGAACCTGCACCTCTTCCAACAGAGAAGCCAGTGTGAGTATTACTTCAGACCATTCAAACGGACATTTAGATTTTTATGTTGGCCTTTTTCTGTGCACTGCTACTAGATTTTTTTTTTTCATCTACATTTTGCACTCTTTAACAGTGTGACTGAGACGCATGCTCTGGCAGCTGCTAACCAGCAAAAAAATGACCGTTTGAGAGAAGCGTTCGGTATCAGCTCTGACTACGTTGACGGCTCATCTTTTCATCCTGACCGGAAGGAGCGAGAGAAGGAAAAGAGGGAGCAGGAGAGGCTGGAAAGAGAGAAACAGCAGCAGAAGTACCAGTGAGTACTTTATCTTTTGAGAAGTCAAAGCCTTTGCGTTATACCATATCTAAGTACTTACTGTTCTGTATGTTTCTCACCATTTTCTTTCAGGATTGTTGAGTCTGATGATTCAGATTCATCTACTGAGCGAAAAAAGAGCCGGAAGAAGAAGAAAAAGAAAATCAAAGGCAGAGAAAGGTAAACTGGAGAATAAAGGAGGAATTTGGAATGCTTAACATAAGTTTAAAGAGAATAATTATAAATCAATTTTCACTCTTAGCTCTGAGAGCCCCTCACCTTCCCCTCGGCGAGAGAAGAAAAAGGACAAGAGGAAGAAAAATAAAAGGTTTCATTTAATGCTTTTAATTTTGTTCCATTACATAACAATATGCTGTTAATTATTCTTCTGTTGCCCTCTTGGCAAGAAGAAATTGGGTAAAATTAATTAATACTCCTACATTTATTTTGTGAAATCTATTTAATTGAGTCAGTATGAAATATTACAATTTCAAAATTAATTTCAAATTAAATATATGAATGTGGGAATTATATTTTTAATTTGCAAACTGTTCTCAAGTCTTAATTTGCTCCACATTATTCATAAACCAGCCAGGAGAAGGTTTAATTCAATATTATGTTCATGTGGTAATAAACATAGTGTAATTTTTTATAAATATTTGTAGACCTGGATACATTAATTTTGAGATGCAATTTATTTTATTTTTACATGTCAATTTTTTTTATTGATTTAGCATTTAGCAATAAAATGTTTATGATTTATATGTTCAATGACAAATTTTCACAGTTAATTAAATAAAGGTGGTGACACAGCTTACCCACAGACACATCTAATGCCCCACTCTCCCCTAACACCATGTCTACACCAGACGTGAGCGACGCAACTAAAGCAAATAGAATCCGTTATAATCTTCGGTGATATTTTCTACACTGGACACAGTGCAACTTTACACAACAAATTCCTGACAGTAAACTAATGCCTGGTCTATTTTTGACGTACTCCAAGCACTCACGCTACATCTGAACATAGAGCAAATGGATTTAATATGGTCGCTTTGTTGCATCCGGTGTAGACACGGTACAATTTTATTTTTATTTTTATTGCTCAAATAACAAAAATCTTTGCTTTTAGGGAGGGGTCAGTGAAGAGTGACACTGAGAGGTAGGTTTTCTCCTCATTGTTTTAAGTTACATGTGAACAGATGACGCGTTCTTTATTCACATTTAATTGTTATAATGTAACTTGCAACAGTTCGTCAGATGAAAGGGAAACATCCAAAAGAAAAAGAAAAAGGAGTGACAATGAGGCTCCTCCCAATAAGAGCCGAAAACAACAGAGTGTATCTTCCAGCCCAACTCGCAGGTAACATGACAATAAATAAGGCCATGTGCACACTACACGACATGACTATTTTTTTGTCATTTTATAGTGTGTACTAAGGGATAACTCTTTACATTGAGTTGCCTTTTATCTTTTTCGTACTGCATTTGCAAAACCTTTTTCCAACCTTTTCCCCCATTAAAGGCACACTATGTACGATTTTTGGATCAAAATATTTAAAAACCACTAGAACAATGTTATATATTTTGTTGATTTGTGTACTTGCATTATCCCAAATGTTTCTAAGAATGTTTAAATCCAGAGAAATTAGCAGTTTTAACCAGGACACGGACCATGTCTGTGCATCACCTATCAATGAGATCATACACGCGTTACCCTCGATTTCCGGTTTTATTTTGTAGAAACCATGGAAACACTAAAGATGCTTTAATATATTATGTGTTTTATTAGACAAGTGAGCAACTGTTTGGATACATTCATCAACAGAAAACTAACTGTGTTGAGCTGTATAGCAATGATTAGTCTTTTTGTTTAAATCTCGTGTTCTTGATTTACCGCGAGTACCATTTTTACCATGCCTAATACCGATCTAGCTCACTGCAGTGTGCAACAAGTGTCTCATATAGTAGCCGCAGAGCGAACGCACAAAGTAGCATTATAACAACTTTGATCACACTCAAATGTATCTAATATGTTAAAACAGCGCTGCGTTACCCCACATACACATGACCGGAAGAAGCGGAAGTGGTCTGCGGCATAATAAAAGCTCCACTGCTGTTGAGCTGTGTGTCGTGCTTGTCTCTCATTAGCAATCGCTCCAGCGGCCTCGTTCGACTCCAACTGCTTTCGTAATGTTAGTAAATCTTTAATACATTACCGGTCATCCATGAATATGATTTCTGCCCGAGTCCCGTCGTATTCTCCACCGGCTGTAGAGGTGAAGACAACAACTCTCATGATTCCATGAAATCAAGGCGTCATCAAGCTACGCCTTTGTTTTGAATAAACGACCTCTAGTGGTGAAAAATTACACAGTGTGCCTTTAAATAGATTTATTTCAAATAGGTTTAAATTATATGGAAAATGTATGAATGCGTGCTCAGCGTTTGAGATGGTCTAGTTTATCAAAATGGTCTTAATTAGTGAAAGTTCATGTTTATATATATATGCATGCTTTTTGTTTTCAGCCAATCCCCCCAAAGAGGGAAGCAGCAGAATAAATCAGATTCTCGTCCAGATGAGGGGAGGAAAGGAAGATCCCCTGACAGGAGGCGACGCGGCCGTATTGAGGAAAGTCCAAAGAGGATGGAAGTCAGAGAGGTAATTCATTTGTTCTTTTGGAAGTCTTAGAAGCATATGCACACAGTATTAGTTTAATCTGATTTATTCCTTTCACTTGATTAGTGAATTCGACTAATTCTTAGATATGGTCTTTCCTGTTACCTTACCTTAAACTTATTTATATTTTATTAATTAATTTAATTTATAATTTGTGTATATATTTTTTTCTTTATTACACACAATGTCCATGTTAAATTGCAGCCAAACACGTTCAGATGGTGTCTTTGGCCATTGTCGCATCTCGCATCGTTTTTTTTGGAGCACTTCGCCATAAGCATTGTTTTAAAATAGCATGTCAAGTTAAAAATAGCCCAACATTTAAAAATGCATCTAGAGACTCTTGCATTTAACGCAAGAACCTGTCATACAAATGTTTGATGACTGACCTAATTATTTAGGCCTTCCTTGAGCCAGATTAATCAAGCGGTTGTTCAGGCAAACCTTTAACTAGTTGATTTTTTTTAAAAAAAAATTGTTTTTGCAATTTCTCTAATTCTGTCTTCCTCACTTTTAGAGATCACCAAGACGCTCAAGAACGCCTGAGCACAACAGAAGAGACAAAGGCCAAAAACTTGATAGAGAACAAGTGCAAGAAAAACCACAGAGAAAGCAACACAACTCTTCATCGCCATCTCCTCCACCAAAGCAGAGGGGGGATAGACGACCACGGAGTGAAGAGCGGGTGAAACCCCTTCAGACAAGACACAACTCCTCTTCACCATCTCCACCACGTAAGCAGCAGCTAGACCGAAGACAACGGAGCGAAGAGAGACAGAAACCCTCTCAGCGGAAAAGGCGTGACTCTTCGTCTCGCTCTCCGACTCCTAAGCTGCAGAGAGACAAGAACCAAGGGGATGATGGGAGAAAGAACAAAGGTCAAAGAAAACATGACTCATCCTCATCCCCGTCTCCTCCACGTAAAGATAGAACGAGAAGAGGACACAGTGGAGAGAAGGAAGCTTCCCTGAGGGACAGGGAAATGGAGAACCATGGGGACAGAGCAAGAGACAGACAGAGGAATAGTGATAGAGAAACAATCCTGTCTAGTAGAAAGGATGACCAAGGACGGGAGAGTGATAAAGGGAAGGAACGAGACCGAAACCGATCTAATGATTCCATGTCTCCTGCTAAACGTTCACCTTACGCCAATGGAGGGCAAAAAGAACGAGATCGTGAACTGGAGAAGGAGCGAGCAGAACAGAGAGACAAAGACAGAAGACGAGAGGAGGAGATGAAGGAAGAGGCTCTGAGAAAAGCCAGAGAGAGCGACAGAGAAAAGGAGAGAAACCGCACCAGAAGCCAAGAGGTGTCTCGATCAGACAGAAAGTCCTCTTTTAGCTGTCAACCTGAGGACAGACGAGGTGCCAGAGGAAGTGAGCAAGAGCAAGAGGTTGGCAAGAAAGACAGGAAAATTGAAGAGGACAAGAGACAGGAGAGGAGTCCTCAAGACCAAAAGGAGGAGAAAGAGACTCAAAAGGAAAAGCCTGGGAAGAAAGACAAAGCTGCAAGTAGTAGTAGCAGTAGCAGCAGCAGCAGCAGCAGTAGTGACAGCAGCAGCGAGAGTGATAGTGACAGCTCCTCATCATCATCCTCCTCATCCTCATCGTCATCATCCTCGGATGATGAAAAAAAGAAAAGTTCAAAAGACAGCAGCACAGCCAGTAAGTTGGTTCCTAACGCTGTCATCGCTCTGGCTATTGCACGTAGAGAGAAGGAGAATCGAGGAAGGGATGGGGAGAGGGATGAAGGCAAGAAGGTGTACCCTGCCACACAAAGACAGAGCTCACCTCCTGAGCCCCAGAGAAAAAGGGACAACGTTGATAAGAGACAACTAGATGTGGAGAGAGACCGGAGACCTGGAAACTCCTCGTCTCCCTCCACAGGAACCAAAGACCGTGGAAAAGAAAGGTACACTCCCACCGAGAGTTCCAGCCCGCCTCCTTCACCCCCTCAGAGAGGCCGGGACAAGTACACGCCTTCAGAAGAACCCAAATCTCAGAGCAGAGATCGTGGAGGCGAGCGATACCCCCCGTCAGAGATGGAACGAGAGTCGTCACGCCCTTCTCCTGGCAGAGGAAGAGATCGACAGAGTGACCGAAAGAAAGACATGTCGCCTTTGTCTCAGAGGGGAAAAGAAAGGAACAACGTGTCACAGGTGAAACAGACAGTAGCTCGGCCTTCACCAAAACGCACCCCACCACGACAGTACCAGGACCCACAACATTCGCGTTCCCCCAGTCCTAGACGAGGAGCGAGAAGACCGTCACCTCCACGAAACTCATCTCCTTTCAGAAGGGATCGCAGCCGAGAACGTCTCCGAGAACGAGAAAGGGACCGATTTAGAGCAAGGCCAGGAGACAGAGAACGAGAGCGTTCCAGGGATAGGAGAATGAGGAGCAGCAGATCCAGGAGTCCTCGAAGACAAAGTCCTCCCTACAGGTTAGTCAGATTACCATGTTTTTTTTTTAGAAAAGCTAAACATTAAAAGTAGTCGCAGTAGGCATTATGGAAATGGGTTGTTGAGTGATTTTGCAGTGTGACATATTTCAAAATGGCAATTTTCACTTGAGACATGGAGCCAAATTATAGGAGCAGGAAAATAACATTAGAAAGATTCCAGTATCATTATTTTATCTTTACACAGAGTAGGTCTATTATAAAAATCTGTTGGACTTTGAATTTAGCAATCCTTGTTGCATTATATCATGGTGACAGGAAAAAGCACTTTTCACAAATTAAGAAATTATAAATGTACCTTTATTTATTCACATAAAAGTAATAATGCCAACAACTTGATTTGATAGTCTATAAATGTATTAATTATTAGGAAAACATGGCCATTTAGCTAGTGCATTACTTTTATTTCACTTTTGGATTTCAAAAAGGTACATCTACAAAGCTCTGTAAGGTAAAAATGATCCTTTGAATGTCTTTTTTTTAATGTAAAATCAGTGATTCCGTAAAATATGCCCCTTTGCAGTGGATACTGCTTGGTCTATGACCATGCTTCACATTTTACAAGGAGAAATTCTAATACTTCCACTACAATCCTGGTGAGGCAAATCTTGGTTTATTGAATACAAATAATAAAGTGTGGGGAGAGCAACCACACTGCCCTAAGAGACATGAAACTTTTTACATGCATGTAGTTGTAATACTGTATTTGACCTCTTGGTAGCTTCAGAAGCAGTTGAAATGAACAAAATCCCTTCTTACAGATTTCCCTGAAACTGATTCAGATGTATAGAATCTTATGAATACACTATTTAGAGCAAGTTAATGCCTCAACTGTAATTCTGGCACTCAGACAGGTATGTTCTATGCAGTTGTTTTGATAGAGGGAAATTGTTTATTCCTGTGATGACAAAGCTGAATTTTCAGCATCATTACTTCAGTCTTCTTCAGTGTCACATGATCCTTCAGAAATCATTCTAATATGATGATTTGGTGCTCAAGAATTTTTGCTACATGTGGTAAGTTTTTTCAGATGTCTTTGTTAAATAGAAAGTTCAAAAGAACAGCATTTACTTGAAATAAAAATATTTGGAAACATTAAATCCTTACTGTCACAAAGTATGAATGTCTTTCAAAAAGAAATACTTACCGATATAAAATGTATTTATTATTATTTAGATGAATCCATTAGGGGGTTTTGAGCTACACTCTGTTACACTGTAATTAGCAGAGTTTTAAATTAAGTTTAATATAATAACAAAAATGTATTGTAGGTGCGGTTATTACAACATTTTTCTCTCTCTACACCTAGGTTTCGTCGTTCACCCTCTCCAGTACGTCGGCGCAGAAATAGTCGTTCGTTGTCAAGAGAAAGAGAAAGGGGGAGAGAGCAGGAGAGGAGGAATCGAGAGCGAGAGAGGCAGCGTGAACAGGAGAAAGAGAGAGAACGAGAGCAAGAACAAAGAAGGAGGGCACCACCCAAAGATCCCACTCCTCCACGCCGCTCGTCTTCATCATCCTCATCCTCCAGTTCGACCTCTTCAACCTCACCCTCTCCTCAAAGACAGATGAAGGGGTTAAAGTCAACAGATGCAGATAAAAAGAGATCAAGGGAAATTGATGAACAGACAAGAAATAAGCAACCAGAAAGGAACTCCAAACATCCATCTCCCTCCCCTCATCGTGAGACTCGTCTCCCTTCTAATCAATTGCATAATCGCTCTCACTCCCGTGAACTTCCTGCCCGTTCTAGATCACCAACGACCAACCAATCACAAAGCAGGGATACACCAGGTGACCGATTAAGAGGCCAGACCCCGTCATCTGTCCATGAGCGGCACCACGAGCCATCAATGAAAGGAAAGACTGCAGTGAACGGGAAACCAGAGAAGGAGAGCTCTGGCCAACAGCAGAAGAAGCAGAGAAGCAGCTCAAGTTCTTCATCTTCCTCATCATCATCATCATCATCGTCGTCCTCATCATCATCATCATCATCATCCTCATCAGACAGCTCAGACACTGAAACAGAGAAAGGAAAAGGGTAAGTGCATAGTCAGTTAGCGTTTATGTAGTTCAGTTTAATAGATGGAACTTAATTTGAATGTTTGTTTTTCCAGGGGTGTTAAAGCAAGTACAAATAGAGATGCTGGCAAGATGGCAAAAAGCAAAGCTTCGTCGTCGTCGTCATCATCCTCATCAGAAAGTGAGCAAGAAGAGAAGAAAAGGTAGAATGTTTTTCCCGTTTTATTAATTGTTGTTTTATTGCTCTACTAAAGGAATAATGGATTTTCCACCTTGAGTCAACAGGGAATCAAAATTGACTTTACTTTCTCAGTTTATGAGCATGATCCAACAGGGCAATATTTTAAGCTACTGTAAGCTACTTTAAGCTATAGTAGGCCTGCCATTATCAAATCATAAAGGCTGCGTTTAAAGAATTATATGCACTGCATGTTTCAAAGTGAAGCCCAGTACTGTGCTCATTTATATGCAAGCAGCTCATGATAGTGTTTTCAGTGTCTCGGTTCACAGTACACGCTGATCCACATGAACCCATCTATGTATCTGTGTAGCATTATCTTTGGGAAATAAAAAAAAAGTCCCCCAATTCAATATCCCTTATCCCACTGAAATAAGTCACATTAGAGACACAAATTGGCAAAATAAACATTTACGTCCCATTTTGCTGCTTTACTCTAAACCACCGTCTAACTATTTTTTTTTTTAACTATGCAGTCCTCCACGGCCCAAAAGAGTGCCAGCAGACTCATTGAGAGACTCTAGGTCACTCAGTTACTCCCCTCCAGCGAGGCAACGAAGACCTGCACATTCTCCACCCTCTCGACGGTCAGTTCTGACCTATGTATTTCAGCACATACTATAATTTTCAACCGTTGCTATTACTAATATTGATCTACATCTCTGTTTTCCATCAACAGTGCAAGCAGGAAGTCGAGAAGCAGATCTCCAGACAGTCGACGGAGGAAATGAGTGAATAATTGTACACTTCTTTTGTTTTCTCTCCTTTCTGACTCTCACTGGACTGGATCATCTCAGTATCACATGGATGAGACTAGAAATGTGACTAGTTGTAATGGTGACATTTTCACCATTATTAGAGGAAGGTCTATTGAAACTTGGTTATTTGTAATTCATCCCAAAAGGGAGGATTTATTTTTACCTTTATTATGCTGTAATTAATGTAAGGAGGCCAGCTGAGACACTGAAGCTCTCATCAACCATTGCTCTGTGCCAACAGATGCTATTTGTATACATACACATACACACAAAATCACACATGTTCAGTGGTTTTCTGTCTGCTACATTGTTCTGAATGTAGATGAACGTCTGTAATTTGGTGATCAGAATGGACGATATTCTGTTCCTGCATATGTGGACCGAGTCTGTTCCTTTGTTTATTTGTTGGAAAAAAGAATTGTGAATAATAAAATGGCAGTAGAATATTCTTGTCTGAAATTTTAGTTTGTGGTGCTGAAGTTGAAGTGGATACCAAATACACAGCAGTATATTCTTTAAAGCTGTGTCCAATTTAATGAACGCTTTCAGTCGGCTTTCTCAGATAAAGAGGTGGCCCTGCCCCAATCTCACACCTTTTTTAGAACCATTGTTATTATATGAGATGTTCAAATAAACATATCAGTGTTTTGATAGTGTGACTTTATTTTTATGCTTTGAGAAAATCAACCTACCAATTTCATTATAGTCGGTTCAGATGTCATATTAAATGAGTATTGGAGAAAGTCTTAAAATGAAAAAAGTAAGCATTACAGCTTTATAACCTGAGACCCCCTCTTACAGAAATTTGACATGGTAATTTTCCTCCCACAATAGCCTACTAAAGTAAATTGGTGCTACAATTAAATTGTGGTCATTAACATCATCCGCTACCATATATACATATATATACCATGGTAACCGTTGTAGCATTTTTTTTTTTTCATTTATTTTGATGATTGATAAACTTTTTTTTATTTTAATAAATGCTAAAAAAAAAAAAAAAAAACATTAACAATTATCATCATATAATACAACAACACTCAAGAGTCCTTCAGTCCAGATCAAGTGCCAAAGTAATCAAGTGCCAAAGCACCAGCTTTTGGTAACTTGTAGCTGGTCTGTCTGTGGAGGTTGTAAATTGCGTCATATTTACGCGACGCTCTTTGAACGAGCAGCACCTATGAGCAGCCGAGCAGCACCTATGAGCAGCCGAGCAGCACTAGTAATACGAAAAGGTTTTGTATAGAAAATTAAACGAGGATTTTCAAGTTACTTTAATGAACTCCCGGAAGATGGGTCCAGTTGAGGTAAGTGATACGACCAGGATATTATTCAATTTATTGAATAAGAAGCCAGCATTGATAATTAAATCACTCGAACTATAACTTAGGAAACCTACATCGTAATACATTGATGCTCACCAGTTTTCACAAATGTATCATATACAGTTTTATATGCAGACCATTACATTTGTGCACCTATACGTTTATAACATATTGTCAACAGTGTTCGTGACACATGTTTAAAATCTTTCTCCAGCTCCTGCATATGTCCGTGTTCTCGCAGAGTTTCTCTCCCTGCGGTCGTTTCCTTGCAGCGGGTAATAACTATGGAGAGATCGCAGTGTTCAGGTGAGAGAACAGGTTAAACATGCAGTTATGATAGCAGTTTAAGTGGCGTTAGTCAATATGTCCCCTAATGTTTCTTGATGTAGGCCTGGCTACGTTATATGGTGATTGTGTTGATGTTGAATGCTTATTGACGTGTTCTTTTAGTTACTAGTTTTGTTCTTACAGTCTCTCGGCTGCACTGAGTCCAGATGCATCAGAGGGGAGTCAGAAGCCCATCCTAAACTTCACTGGTTAGACCATTTATAACAGATAATTTGTTTACCTTCACTACATGTGTCCTAGATGATCTAAATCTCAACCATTACCTAGAGTATATGGTTCAGGGAATATTCGATCCTTTATCCAATATTGCAACATTAACAAGTGAAAGGGTTTTTAATTGTTTCAGCTCATGACGGTCCGGTGTTCTCTCTACTCTCCACGGACACTCATCTCCTGAGTGCTGGGAATGGAGAGATCAGTGCCTGGAGTTGGGCAGAGCTCATCAAAAAAGTAAGAGTCAGTAAATGTTAATGGGTTTTTATTGGGTTGAAAAAAATGCTTATTCCTTTTCATAGTTTTGCTTTGTGCATATGGATACGGACACTGTGAAAACAGTAATATTTGCAGAAAATACCTCAGTCAGCGCATCTTCTATTTATGTCTCCGCAGAGCACCAAAGCCGCATGGACGAGGAAACCCAATTATGAGTGAGAGACTGTCAATGATTATCTTTCTGATTTGCATATACTGGTAACACTTTACTATAAGGTTCAGTTAGTTAACGCATTAATAAATATTAACTAACAATGAGCAATAAATTTGTTACAATATTTATTCATTTTTGTTGACGTTAGTTAATAAATAAAAAATCAATTGTTCATTTTTAGCTCAGGCCCATTAAATAACATGAACAGATACAACTTTTGATTTTAATAATATATTAGTAAATGTTGACATTAAAATTAACTAAGATTATTAAATGCTTTAAAGTATTTTTCATTGTAAGTTCATGTTAACTAATGTAGTTAACAAATTGTATAATTCATACATTCAATTTATTGACTTTCATTATTGTGTGAATGTCACCTCAAATGTTTGTTCAATGTCTCATTCTATACAGGACTAGTCTTGAAATTCCAGAGATCAATGCAATGATCATTAACCCGAAGGTTTGTACTTGAACTATTTGTTTTGTTTATCCCTAATACATGCTTTTTTTATGTAATCATATATTGTAGTTAACGGTTGTTTAAATGGGAGTGTTTGACAAAACATTAATTTATGTTACTACATTACTACAAGTTCATTTATATATTTGTGTATGTCTATGCATAGTTTGGCAATTTGATCCCTGTTATTTTTCTGCAGGACAACGGCTTAATAGTTGGAGGCGGCGACAATAACATTCACATCATGGACATGGAGACAGGCGTCTTTAAGGTCAGTTAGACTCCAGGGACCATATTTGACGTATTTATCTTATGTCACGTAAACCTGTTACGATCTGTGATTGAGCATACATCAGTACCTACGTATACGTACGTTATATACAGGAAGTAAACAACAGATTCACGTGTGTTAGGTTACGACAAGTCGAGCTAAAGACAATCTACTGTCTCCTCGTAAATATATATTATACGAAGATAGCAACACTTCACATGGTGTCAGAAATGAACCGACACGGGACGCTGACTCGAGGGACTGGGCCGATTGGAAACAACGCTTCTCCAGGTACCGAGTAGCAACGAAGTTTAACAAAGAGCCAGCCGATGTCCAGGTCAGCGCATTGATTTATTCTATGGGCCCAGAGGCAGAACAAGTGTACAAATCATTCGTCTTGGAGGAAGAGGAATTTGACCAGCACTTTGTGCCAAAAAGGAACGGGGTTTTCGAGAGAGCACTTTTCCACTCGCGGACGAAAGAGGCGGGTGAGTCCGTTGAACAGTACATGAGGCGCCTGTATGAACTCGCAGCTCACTGTGACTTTCATGAGAATGAGGCGATAAGATATAGACTGGTCATAGGGATTTAAGACAAAGATCTTTCATTGAAGCTACAAATGACAAGTGACCTCACTCTGATAAAGGCAGTTCATGGCCAGGCACTGTGAGCTAGTGAAGCAACAGAACAGCGAGGCTGGCACATCAGGGCACGTTGATGAAATTAAATCAAAGTCTTATAAAAGTAAGTGGAAAAACACACAGTACGAGGCAACCGGAGGACGAAAAGAAAATGGAAGGCAAAACTGTGGAAGATGTGCGTGCAGGCATGCAAGAGACAAATGCCCAGCTAAAGACAGAGAATGTAATAAATGCCACAAAATTGGTCACTTTGCAAACAAATGCAAAACCAGAATGATACAAGAAGTGACTGAAGAAGTTGACAGCTTATTCTTAGGCTCACTAGATGAGACTACAACCAAGAAGGAGGCTACAGTGCATCACCGATACAGAGCCACCATGGCGCACAACTCTAGTGATATGCCATACTCCAGTTAGCTTCAAGATAGATTCTGGTGCTGATACAACGATAATAAATGAGGCTACTTATAGCCGCCTTATAGCCGCCTCCAAACATAAGCTGCGTTTCCACCGCAGGAACTTTCCCCAGGAACTAGGAACTTTGGGGTGGTACTCCGTGTGTTTACACTGCAGGAACCAGGGTCTAAATGAAGTTCCGGGGTAAAAATTTCCCCCCCAGAAAGTCCCTGCTGGCGAGGTAGTACTTTTTCAGAGTTCAGGAACTTTCGGGGTGGGACTTGTGCGCTGAACATGCTGATTGGTTATTTTACCTTGTTCTCTCTGCCGGATGGCGCGCGTTCGTCCCATCCATCTCACGGTCATGTCCGCTATAGCTGATAACAAACGTTGTCTACTTCTATATCTAGCATTACGAGCTTTCTGAAATGAATACGCTTTGGTATTAGTGTTCGTCTCTTTTCTGCCGTTTTGTTAATTACCTCGTTAGTAAACCAATAGATCGCACACAAAAGCAGCACAGCTTGAATCTCTTCAATACTTAAAACTCAAAACAAGTATGCGCAGACTGGGAGGAGCAGTCGCACGCAGTTCAACGTCACCAGACTAATCTTCCCGGTACTTTAGTCCACGGTGTAAACGCAGTGAGCAACCGTTCTGGGGCAAAAAAAGTTCCTATGAAAAAAGTTCCTGGGACAAATAGTTCCTGGTAATTGCGGTGGAAACGCGGCTTTAGTCCAGTTACCTCTAAACTGGAAAGTCCAGGAGGAAAAGTGGTCCATTTGGGGCAATTCCTAGCTAAGACACAAGAGTCTAAAGAGAGAAAAATAACAGACTGTTAATTTAGGGTAATAGTGGCAAAGTCTACAAGTCTACAAAGATCTACATACTGAGCAGATCTGTTGGTGTCCGCCTGGGTCTGATACAACACATCGAAGAAGTCAATGTGTTTGGGGAGTTAGGACTGCTTAAAGGAGACCCCATAAAAATAGTCCTAAGAGAAAACGCAAAGCCATACAGCGCCTTGCCGAATACCCATTCCGCTGCTACCTAAAGTAGAAGAGGAGCTGAAGCAAATGGAAGAAAATGGCATAATAGAGCGCGTGGCGGAGCCCACAGAATGGGTAGCGCCTATGGTGCCTGTGATTAAGCCGACTGGAAAAGTAAGAATCTGTGTAGGTCTTACTAAACTGAATGAGAACGTGAAAAGGGAAAAGTTCATCTTGCCGACCACAGACAGCATCTTGCACAAACTGGCCGGAAGTAAGGTGTACACAATTCTGGATGCTGCCAGTGGATTTTGGCAGATGGCCCTAGATGAAGAAAGGTCAAAGTTAACTACCTTCATAACACCAA